CCACTCCTCCCTCTTTTCCTCTCCCTCCTCCTCCCTTCCCCATTATCGGGGTAACTTCCACAGAGTCTTAATCCAACTCTTTAAAGGATTCTCAAAGTTCCTTCTAAAATGCACAAAGCCAGGCTTTCACTGACCGTGTGCTCTCGACGTTATCTCCTAAGCTCCCACGATAACAGCCTATTAAGCTCTGGTCCCTCACTGTCTTTTCTAGCCCAAAGTTCCAAATGTCACCACAATCCAAAGGCAAAAGGAAAAGAAAGACCAAAGGACATGGTTAGGTTTCTCACACCAACATTTCACATTCCTGATAGCAGTTTCTGTTCTAGTTTGGTTTCTGTTGCTGTGATAAACACCATGACCAAAAGCAACTTGTGGAGACACGTATTTGTCCTACAGGTTACAGTCCATCATCAGGGGAAGCCAAAACAGGAACCTAGAGGCAGGAACTAAGACAGACAGTGGAGGAAAACTGCTTACTGACTTGCTTCCCCTGTCTTGCTCGGCTACCTTTCTCTCATAGCGCAGGCCCACCTGTCTAAGGATAGTACTGCTCACAGAGGACCAGTTACCCTTACATCAGTTGACAGTTAAGGCAATCCCTATAGACATGTCCACAGGCCAATCTGATAAAGTCAGTTCCTCAGTTGAGAGTCCCTCTTCCCAGCTGTGTTAGATTGACAACCAACAATTAGCCATCACAAGCTCCCATACTCACAAATCAACAGAAATAATATTATGAAGATGGCTATATTACCAAAAATAATCTACCCACTGAATGAAATTCCCATTGAAATTCCAGTAACATTCTACAGAGAAATAAAAATAGAAAAAAATTCTAAAATTCATATAGAGCCATAAAATATTCCAGATAGCCAAAGGAATCTGAAGAAGAAAGAGCGAAACTGGAATTATCATGATATCTGGCTTCATGTCAGTTGCATAGACCTAGAGAGCCGTATCAAGTAAAGCAACATGATTTGGTATTTACCTTTCTACTCAGAGAGTGTGCACAGTACCTTCCACTACCATGAACACCAGTCAGTAGACGTGAAGGCACCAGATCAACTTCTCCACATTCAGTGAATTATGTAGATGTGGTCATCAGCAACACATCCTTACCATCAGCTTGTGAAGAGCATCTGACAGCCTGGGCAAATAGCCTGAGTTCTCCAATGGAGTTTCATTGGGTGTGCAAACCAACTTAAGGGAAGACCCCATTGCCAGCAGTGGATGGACAACACAAAACAAGCTCACTCACAGTTTTGGAGACTTTTTTTGTTTCATATTGCTTTGTTTGAGAATTTTTTTTACCTGACTGATCTTTTGCTTGGATATTATGGTTTCTGATTGGGGGTTTTATTCATATGTGTGTATATGTTTCCCCTGCCTTTTCTCTGTTTTGGTGTTGGTGTTGTCTGTTTAGTTGGTTGATTTTATTCTGGGTTTTGTTTTGTTTTTATTTTTGTTTTGTTTTGCCCATTTGCTTTCTAAACAGAAAAAGAAGGCATGGATTTAGAATGGTGGAGAGGTGGGGAGGATCTGGGAGGAGAAAAGGGAGGGGAACAGTGATCAGAATACATAGTATGAAAATAGAATTTATTATTTTAAGGTTTTTAAAATAAAAAGCAAATCAACACAGAATTAGCAAAAGAAAAGAAAAAGCAGACATAGAGTCATGGACTAGACAGAAACTCCTAATTTTGGACACACATGACAAAAACATGCATTGAAGGAATGACAGTCTCTTCAACTAATGGTGTTGGAGAAATTTGATATCCATATATAAAGATGGAAACTGGAGAGATTTCTGTCTCATTCACAACCTGTACAAAAATCCAAATATATCTAATTCAAAGACATGAATGTAAGACCCCAAACTCTGAAATAGTCAAGGAGAAAACACATCGAGATACAGGCTTCTCAGGAAGTAGTGCCAGCAACAGCCATGTTCAAAATCTAAAAGCTCTTGTGTATCAAAGGAAGCAGCGAATAGAGTGAAGAGGCAGCCTACAGAACGGGAGGAAAAGAACTCAACAAATTCAACACCAAAAAAATCAAACAACCCAACCCAGTCAATAAACAAGCTAATGAAATGAGCAGCCAGTTCCTAAAAATTGAAGCACAAATTGACAAGAAATATATGTTCAACATTCTTGGTCATCGAAGAAATGAAAACTGAAACTACACTGAGATTCTACTTTATCAAAATTAGAATGGCTACAATTAAGAAAGAAAGTGACAGCCAATTCTAGACATGAAGAAAGGAATTTCTGTACAGTACTAGTTGGGATGTGAGTCCAGCCACTATGGAAATTACTATAGAGGTTCCTCAAAACATAAAAATCTATCTGCCTTATAACCCAGCTATACCACTTATGGGAATATACCCAAAGAAATGTTGGGTTAATATGCTACAGAGAGGCTTTTGCATATCATTTTTATTAAAGCACTATTCATAACAGCCAAGTTGTGAAATCTTCCTTGGTATCCATCAGTAGATTTAAAAAGGGAAAGAATATGTTTATGTATATACAATGGCGTTTTATTCAACCATAAAGAATTAAATTAGGTTACTTAGTGGAAAATGAATGCAAATTGAAATTATCATTTTAAGCAAAATAAGTCAGAATCAGAAAAACAAATATCACATGATTTCTCTCATTTTTGAATCCTAGATTTTTATATAGATGCTTAAATACACACACACACACATACACACACACACACACACACACACACACACATACACGCACACACAGAGGGTGAAAACAGAAGGTACAAGGACAAGACCAACAGGGAGAGAGAGAATGAGGTGGGGGGTTGGGATACTGGACAGTAAATATGATTGAAGTATATGATATACTTGAAAGAAGCTGTTCTTCTGAAACATGGCACTATGTGCAATGAATCAATTGAAACAGAAAAAAAAAGATAAGAGTAGGTCCAAGATGACTTTAATTTTAGCCAGATGACAGTGATTTGAGTTTGAGCCAATTAATAATACTTTCTCTTTCTTTATCTTCGAATCATAAGTAGTGATGGCACATTGAATTGTGGTGCCATTGCAAGGATTTAATGAGTTAATCCATATAGAACTCTGCTATAATAAATGGCACACAATTAGCACCACATAAATTTGGGATGCTATTATTTGATTGATCCTTAGACTCTATTCAGGAGACAATATTTTTAATTGTTCTACTATACTTAGAAGCCATCATAATTAATGGTCATACTTAGAAGAAGGCATATGAAACTAATTAATTCACCTTATCACAGTTATTTCATACAAAGGGTCTTATAATGAACACACAGACTGAATACTTGACACCTAGACTCCTTAGTGCTTTAACTGATGTTGATGCTACTACCCATGGTGTCCAAAATTCCTCCTTGCCTTATATATACTTTCAGAAAGATCAATATGTATGGAATATCTTGCCTCCTGTATTTGAAGAATAAGTTATTAACTTGCATGTTTTTGGCTAAAAAGTCCACAACCACCCTCAATTCAATCATTGCATTCCTCATTATTTCATCTAACAGACCTAGAATATTTTACACAAGGCTGGATAATGGAAAAGTATATGATATCATGAGAATTCTTTTTTGACATTAGCTCATTTTTTTTTAATTTTGGCCAGGTAACAGAATTGTCTGTCTTTCTGATCACAGCAAGCTCCATCACTTACAGGTCCCATTATTATCTCAAGTATCACAGCAACGTGCTCCCAGGCATTCATCATCCTAACCTCAAGTCCTTTATGTTTACTGGCACAACGCCAAGATTTCATTTTAAAATAATCTTCTACCACAAGCTATTCATAGGAAACATCTGGCGTAAATGTTCGCCAGCATTAAATATGTCCACAGTCCTAAGATTAACCTGAATCAGAACATAGACAAGCTATTGTTCCTTAAAATATTTTTCTTCACATTTCAAAACTTAAATTCTCATTTTAAAAATAATTTTTGTGCATCTTTAACTTGTTCGATCATCAAATTTAATCTTCTTAGGTAAAACACTGGGAACTTTGTCTCTAAAGTATTTTCTCTCCTCTTAGATTTTGAGGCCTAGATGAAGTATATGCATCTCCTGTCTGAGATAGCTGAGTCTAAATTGGCTGCAGCTCCTACATAAAATAATGCTAAACTTGGTGTTTCTTATATTCTCTTCCAAAAATGTAACCTTTAAAAATCTTAAGGAACTCATCTCCCCCGCACCCCCTGCCTTCCTGGTAGCTCTAAAGATGGATGGCTGTCTCACTTCTTACTTTCCATCCAGCCCAAGCTGAACATAATGCCAAGTACATAGTACCAAGACAATAATAACTGTCTTAAAAGTGAGGTTTTACATGTGTGGTGCTGGTTTAAAATGTGGTTTGTTTGTTTTTTTTTGGTTTTTCGAGACAGGGTTTCTCTGTGTAGCTTTGCGCCTTTCCTGGAACTCACTTGGTAACCCAGGCTGGCCTCGAACTCACAGAGTTCCACCTGGCTCTGCCTCCCGAGTGCTGGGATTAAAGGCGTGCGCCACCACCGCCCGGCTAAAATGTGTATCCCATTTTAGGATCCATGTATATCCCATTTCAAAAAATTCATAAGAGTAAATCAATAGAAAAAAAAGTACTTCTCCACATTTTATGTTAACAATATGTTGTAGCATGCATTTCTACAAAGCACTCATTACAACCTGTGAGAAGCACAGAAATGAACCGAAGTTATGACATCCTTCCTGGAATAGTCCGGTGGGTGGAATCCCTTTTAGTAAAGAGCTTGATAATGGTTAAACTTGTAAATGTTTCCTGTTGCCACTTACATCTGTACTTCTGGTTCCTTTATGACTTAACACCTAGAAAAAAAAAGAACTTTAGGAATCTGATTGTATGTTGATATCCATGAAATTCTTCATCATTAGAATATTTGACAAAATAGACTGTGGGTATATTGCTTAAAGCACACATTGTTTTGAAAAACGTGCTTGTCTTTGCTTTCTCATGCAGGGACCTCCTGGGTTACAAGGACTGCAACAGACTTTTGGTGGATATTTCAACAAGGTACAGCTTCTTTGTTCCCACAACTTGTGTGCATAGAGATTTTTATGTGGTTATATTTTTAGGGGGGAAAAGTATTATTAATTCCTAACTATTGGTGGGCTTATGGAGAGCCTGTTCCAAGGCCACCTCCAGGGTGATGTAAGAAAATCCACGAAAGTGGCGAGGGCTTAGGAAAAATTCTTATGTATCTGAGGGCTAGACTTTTTTTAATCTGAGGGTAACTGTGAATAAGTTTTAATCTATCTATAACTGGTGAAATAAGGAAACACACATGCTTTCTGATGTTAACTTTCTCTTTTACTTCATCTTAAAAATGCTCTCTGACTCTTTCTCTCTCTCCACTGCTACATTCTATACATATAGCTACATATCTTTACATATATACATTTTCACATGGCTATACATCTTTCTTTTACATACATCTCTTTTCTATACAGCTTCATCTTCCTTGCCTCCACACAGTTACAAATCTCCACACAGCCACAGCTAAACATCTCATTCACATAGCTCTCTCACCACACAGCTCTTTACACAGTTCTTAGGCACAGCTTCTCCACACAGCAGCAGCTCGTTCATATAGCTCTCTCTCACACACACATACTCACTCACACACACACATACTTCTACATTATTCACTCACTCTTTACTCACTCATTCTTTCATCCACTCACTTCCTCACACTTCTCTCATGCTGCTTCTTCTTCATCTCTCACCCAGTACACACACACACACACACACACACACACACACACACACACTTCACTCACATTATAAAGCAACTCTCACATAGCTCTACACAGTCATCTCTCCATACCACCACTGCTCCACAGCCAAACTCCGGACAATCATAAGTTACATGTTCAGGGCCTTACCCATTCTCAAGACACAGGATAAGTCACACAATTTCTCTTAGGCTAATAATGTCACATTGACCCATGCACATAGCTCTAAATTGGTGAGGAGTCCCAGACATTAAACAATTGGCTGAACCTTGAGTGGTCAGGATACATGCAGAAAGAGAGCTACTGCAAGGAGTCAATCTAGTGTAAAGAGCCTGGCCTTGATTTAGCAATAAACAACACCTGGGAATTAGTCTTTGTGTATATTCTGTAGGGGCAGCTTAGTCTGTTTTTGGACTAGTTCTAAGGTCTTTGCAAAATGTGCAAAAGACTGTCTTTTTGACTGAGAATACAGTTACTTTCCTGTGTCAGTAGAGAATATTCTGGTATTATTTCTATACACCAGGATTATACAGCTTAAATAGAAATCATAACCTGACCATGCACATCTATAAGTATGCCCAAAGATGTAAAACACACTACCAAAGGGCTGTGGAAAGCACCCCACAGCTGTTCTTACTAGGGAGGCATAGCAGTGGCACCCGAGAAAGTTACAGACAGAAAACAACCAGTTTCCACAGCGAGTGACCCCACGGCTTTGCCAGATGGGGCCCCCCATCAGGGAGTTATTCATCTGGTGGGTCGACTTGTCTAACACTAGTTGTCACCTGCTGTATACTCCCACAGCCCTCAGCACCTAACATCTCAGACCTTGAGACATATGCTCAAAACATCTTCCCATACTGAATACCTTGTTTACAAATTTAATTTTTTAAAAGTTCCTAAATATATTATAAACTAAGGGTTTGTTTTTATAAACTTTAAAGCAATAGTTCAAAGTTTGATAATGAAGAGCCTAAGCAAATTATTTGTTATCTGAAACTCTGGGTCACACCACAACTGCATTTCTCAAAACCAAGGCCTCAGGTGCATGTCCACATCCCATAGATCAAGAGAGAGAGCCTCCCCAGGGATGGATAGGAAGAGCTTGTAATTTCCTTGATATCTTTTTCACCACAGCTGGAATAAAAAATATTCCCTTGGAAGTATCAACATGGCAAGACTAGCTCCTGATCATACCCAAGAATGGTGTTAATAACCACACAGGGATAGGGATGAACTCATTGGTGGGTTCATTCTTCAAGAACTACATATAGGGTCTGATTTTGTCCTTCATTGCCCCAAATGACAGCAATTGGGGTCCTTTCAGCAGCTACCAGCTCATCATTGATACCTTGTGCCACAGAAAAAGTGTTTTTGTTTTGTTGTCTGGAGTTTGTTTCCTATAAATTTCTGTAACCAATATTGCATCTTTATAGCTGAAGTTTTTCTGTGTCCCACCTGGCCTGTGGTCAAGACAAATCTTTCTCACCTGCCAGTCCTCTCAGACCCAAATAAACACAAACAGGCTAATATTATTTTTAAACTATGGCCATGGCAGGCTTCTTGCTATCTAGATCTTATATCTTAAGTTAACCCATTGCTATTAATCTATAAGTTGCCATGTAGCTGTGGCTTACCAGTCTGCTGGCATGTTGTTCCTTTGGTGGTGGCTGGCGTCTGCTTTTTCCTCTCCTTTCTCTTCCTGTCTATCTTGGATTTCCTGCCTGCCTCTAAGCTGCCTTGCCATAGGCCAAATGGCTTTATTTATCAACCAATCAGAGCAACATATTTTCACAGCATACAGAAAGACATTCCCCCATCACATCTTTGTTCACATATTCCAAGAATCTGTGCTCCAAACCAAGTCTTTTCTTAGGATTTAGGATTTACTTATATTTCTTTTATGAATGCTTGTGTGTGTGTGTGTGTGTGTGTGTGTGTGTGTGTGTGTGTGTGTGTGTGTACACATAACATGCATGTCTGGTGCCGACATAGGCCAGAAGAAGTTGTCAGATACCTTGTAACCAGAGTTTCAAATGGTTGTGAGCCACACTGTATGGGTGCTGAGAACTGAACCCTGGTCTTCTGCAAGAGCAGTTAGTGCTCTTAACCACTGAGCCATCTCTCAAGCTCCCAACCCGTCTTGAAGCTAGCTGGTTCTCAAAAACATATTTTTAATGCTTTTCAAGGACAAATTGATTAATTTAAAATCTCAGCTCTTTGTTCGTCAAATTAAATTCAGTGTAAAAGCCTAGAAAATCCATAATTGGTAAATTTAAAATCAAACATGTAGACACTTCATTGCTCTTGATAAATTTAAGATCATGATCCTGTCTTGAATCTTTTCATATGTGTAGATTTTCCAGAGAGTGCTGTGTTAGGATGATTATAATGTTTCCTGATTCTTTATTAAATATCTTAAATAAATTGATACAAACTTTTTCTAAGCATTAGAAGTTGGCAAGCTTTAAAAATGTAAGCTTAAAGGGTATCTAAATTGAATCAGTATAAAGACATTTGTAATGACATCTACGGTTATAAAATAAGGCTTACAATAAAAGCTTCAAAATAATGAGAATAAGTTGGGTCTGATGTCACAAGTCAGCTAGAAAAGTTGAAGTACGATACTATATTCCTCTCACCATCAGGACAAAATGTACCAAGTTGCTGCTCAGCTACTTCAATATTTGCTAACCCTTGCAAAAACTTTCAAGGCTTATGTCTTTACAGGTCTCCCAACACTACTTCTATATATACTTTTTCTTACCGATGAGTCAGTTTTCCCTTAAATGAAAATATATGGAACCTTTGTATTTTAGAGTCTGAAGTTGGGGATGTTAATTTTTAGACTTGAAGGTTATACTTGCTTTAATGGGCACCAAGCACAACAGCTGAGTGGGGAGTTTTGAGACTTGCACATGGATACCTGGAACTTAGCTATTGTCTCTCCTAAAAGAACCTCAGTTGCTATCATTGTTAGTACAGAAACGAGCTTCACATGAGTTCACATGTGCACAGGATGTGGCTTTGGGGCCGGAAGATAATAGGGTAAATAGAGGAACCAAAGCTTATTTCTCCCCTAAATAATGCAATAGGACCATTTTGAATCAGAAGTGTTTATGTCTATAGTGATTGATGGGAGATAGCTTACCAAACAATTTATTCTGTTTCCTTAGGAGAGTGGATAGGGCTCCTACACTGGGGTCCCATGAGAATCAATAAGGAAGCCCACCCTCAGCACCCACTGAATGATATTTTTGTATTGTGGCCGTTTCTTCTTCACAAAGCAAAGGGCCAAGTGTGCTGTGATGAGCAAGGTGTATTTTTCACTTGGCACTGCCCCCTGACACCCTCATCTGGTTTGGGATAGTAAGGTTGTTGCATTTTGCAGTTTGTTGCATGCCTGATGGTCTGGCTATGACAAATGAGCACAGTGGGGGAGGAGCTGAGATTAAATAATGGACCATGTATTGAGACATATAAAGTGACACTCCAAGGTTAAAACAATCTTCCCTTTTCAATTGGCATTGATTTATGTGATGCCTGCACAGAGCCCCGGACCTCAGCTCTTCCTCTGGCAGCAGCTACAGCCCTTGCGCATCCCAGATTCTGCTGAGGCAGCTACCCATGGGAAGATGAGTAGCAAGCACGCTCCTCACACAGGTCCCCTCCCTGCTCCAAACTAAAAGACTGATGGTTCCTCCCTCATCCCAGCAGTCTGCGCTTGCATTTTGGTCCTCAAACAGAATTGATCTATTCCCGTGCACATCCCCTGTATCACCCAGAGGAGAAACACGGGCATAAGAAACCTCTCCCTTCACAGCACAAATCAAAAATAGAAGATAAAAGAAAAGATGAAAATGAGAGAAATCACTGAAGAGTGAAGTCAGTAAGATTACATGTGTGTTCTTGTATGCAATGATTAAAAAGAGAATACATTTCCCTCGCTCTCACAGAAATAATTTTCAGACAGCTGCTCTCATCCTGCTGGGTTTTCTGCAGAGCAACATCAACTCCACGCACACTTCTCCCCCAAGGAAAATCTGCTCAGTGCCCAGCCACAGTGTTCTTCATTGCCTTCAGCTCTGGGGATTTTGCTGCACATTAGATAGGTTCCATCGGCTTTTAAAGGCATGAGCTCCATAGATGGAAATGAAGGGTGGTCTATGCAGACTAAGTACTGAGTGCTGGTGTGGTGTACATCCAACATGTTTTTAAAGATGGACATTGCAAATGCACAGTCATATCATCTTGTCCCATCATGAGGCTCAGTTTGAGCTGTTGGAGATTGATGCAATGCCTCCCAGCAACCAATTTGGGGAATTGTTCACTTTCCCAAACAGTTGATCCAAAACAAATGATAGCCAAATAATCTATTTCCCTTCCATGTATCAAAGTATAACTTCACACTGATGTCCACAGACTAGAAAAGACAGAAAACTCTTGTCCAAAAACAGACATTCAAGGTCTTTTCAAGCACAAATCCAACAAGGATACGCAAAGCAAAGGCTTCCTTGGTGGCAACCCTCTGGCCCCTGAAGATTTAAAAACTGAACTTTAAGTCCTAATCTCCTGAATTAATCACTTGTCACTGTGAGAAAAATATCTGAGAGAAGCAGTTAAGGAGAAAAAGGTTTACTGGGGCTCACAGTTAGATGACAGGGACATCATAGCAACAACAACCTGAGGCAGCAGGTCACATTGCAGCAGTCTTCAAGAAGCAGCGAGAGATGACTGCTGGTGTCCAGCCCACTTTCTCATTTCTGTTCAGTCTAGAACCTTAGCCCTGCGGGATGGTATTACCCACATTCAAGTTGAGTCTTCCCAGCTCCATTTGCCTAGTCTAGATTACCCCAGCATTCCCAGAGATTCGTTTCCATGGTGATTCTAAATCTCATCAAGTTGACAGTCAAGATAAAATACACGGGCTTCCTCCATCATTCCCTCTTCATGGCCAAGATCCACTGGCTTTACGGAACATTGAGGACTTAGGCACTGACATATGAATTTTGGTAACTTGGTTTGATTATGGAGAGGGCTGCAATATTACCTGTATCCTCCCATCCCTTTTGTGGCCAGCAAAATGGTTTTTTGAAAGTAACTGAGAAGCTGGACTTTGAACCAACGTTAGATATTCATTCAACCCTGAGAGTGCTGGGCTCTTGGTCATCTACTGCATTTGAACTTCCTAGGGGTTGACTCCTGTAGCATCACATATGGAGCAGTCCAGGCAACAGACATTTACCATCTCTCAGTTCTAGAGAGTGGCAGTCTAAGATAAAGTTGAAGGCAGGGCTATGACCCCACTGACAGCTCTAGGGATAAATGCATTACAAGCTCCTCTCCTAGCTTCCAGTGGTTCCCCACCCATGCCCACGTGACACCTTCCTTCATGTATGCCTCTGTGTTCTCTTTTTATAAAGACATGGTCATACTAAGGTATTGTCATCTTTACCACATAACTAGTTACATCTGCCACCATGTTGTCAAATTAAATTTACATTCTGAAGTCCTGGGAGTCGGGCTTCTACATATGAATGAGTGAAGCAGGTTCACAGTCTCGGTCCTCAATGAATAGCTTCTATTTTCCTCATGCCTAGGATATTGCGGTGTATTCCTAAAAGCATTGAGTACTTGAGTGGGTCGCGATTACTCCATGTTTTAGCAGGGAATTCATGTCCTTGGCTTGTTTCTTTAGTTTAGCCACAGGAAATTGCTGTTTACTCTTTGGGAGCTACAAAAAAATGGCTACCTCCTCCCTTCATTTAATCCATACATGTGTACCACAGAGCATCCTTACCAGAAATTCTCTCTTCAAAAGAATCAGAGCAGCCTTGAGTCTTCCTACTGCCTGACCATGGTTCCAAAGTTCTGCGTACCATTTCCCAGATGGGAACAAAGGGACACTGCTCACACCCAGAATTCTTCCACTGAGCAGACAAATTAGCAAGCCACACACCATGACTGTCAACACTGTATCTCAGGAAGTTTTAATAAATAGGGTCAAAATTGTGAGACTGCAAAGCAGAACTACAGGTCTAGAAGCTAGAAGACTTGTCTCTTATTATTCCTGTAAAACTGGGTAATTGTCCAGTGCCATTAGCTTGGATAGAGGAGGTAAGAGAATATTACATATCAATGAGTAAATGCTACTGAAAGTCAAGTTCGAGATAGCTGTATTATTAACCCAAGAATGGAGAACAGCACCAGGAGCTCCTAGGACCAGGGATTAACTAGATTTCCTGACCTGGTTACTGAGTAAAACAAGTATACTGTGTTCTATATACTGCCTTGTTGGTTTTCTAGACTAAAATCATCAGAAAATCAAAATTTGGGAATTTCTACTGTTAGACTAGTATGTCTTGGGGCTACAGAGAAATTGTTAGCTATGGTGCCGTGGAGTTTGCTAGCCTACACTAGGATGTACCCTCACCAGAAATGCTCCGTGCTTTTCTGCCCTGTGGTCCAAGCACCTAGAGCTTTAAACTCCAAAGGCCACGTGTAAAGAAGTGATGTCTTAGACAAAATTACATTCCAGCATCCCTAAAAACACCCAAGCAAAGGTACACCTGGGGGACATGCTGACGTTTTAGGCACAGTAGACGGCACCATGCCAAAGTGACTAGTGTTTTCCAGGAAATCTCTAAAGTTTGTTTCTGGGCCCATGAGGGAGGCTAGACTGGATGGTCAATTGAATGTCGGGGACAAGAAAAGAAAATGGCACATCAGGCATGGTGGGCCGTGCCTGTAATCCCGGCACTAGGGAGGTAAAGACAGGAGAATCAGGAGTTCGTGGCCAGGCAGGGCTACATGATAAGTTTAAGGCCAGCATAAGCCACATGAGACCCTGTCTGAGAGAGAGAGAGAGAGAGAGAGAGAGAGAGAGAGAGAGAGAGAGAGAGAGAGAGAGAGAGAGAGAGAGAGGCAGAGAGGCAGACAGACAGAGACAGAGAGATAGTGTAAGACAATACCAGACTGAAGGGGCTAGCTTCTGTAGACAAGAGGGACAAGGGAAGATTTACTTTCCTAATTATTTTTCAGTTGTAAAATAGAATTAAAACCCTTCAGAAATACATTATGAAGATAGTCGTTGCCATAATCCTACTTCTGGATTAATCAGTGTTAATATTCTTGTCAGCCCATCTTTTCCTCTCATATGTATGCATACGTGTGTTTTCATTTCATCTTTTAATTTGTTGGGTGTACGTTGCTTCTAGAATTAGATACATAAGTCTAAAACTGAGAAAGGAAGAGATATGATAGGCATATAAACTTGTGTTTGTCTAAACAATACCCTAACCATGGGGCTAGACAAGGAAGGGTACAGGGTGGGCAGTGTGAGTGCCGAGTTATCTGAGTAGAGAGCCTGACCAAGGCCTAAGGAAGACCAACCTTCTACAGTTAGATGGGGAGAGAAGAGGAGAAGCCTGAGACAGAGATGAAGACATAGAAGAGGGAGCCCAGCGAGAGGCAAGGGCAGCTCAGGTTCCACTCATCAAGTACAGTAAACTTGGTACCACAGGAATTCTTCAAACCGTGAGAACACAAGTTTCCTACATTATAGATTCTAAGAGCAGGGAAGCTGGAGTCAGAGGAAGTTTGTCTGAAGTTTTTATTATGTCAATTATCTGGGATGGTGGGAATATTACGGCCATTTTGATTTTGAAAAAATTGACCAAGAATGAGAAGCAAGTCCCTGGGGTAACTGTGTTTTCTTTTGTATTTGCAAAAGATAGAACAGATGGGCTGACCAAGGCAAGAAGAAATACTTAAAGAAATTGGCCGACTTCAGCTACAGCTTACATAATTGGCTAGTTTCATTTAACAGCAATGATAAAATTCCCTAAGAAGGCCGAGGCATGGCACTCACCGGGCTTATTGGATGATCAATAGACAGATTCACTCTAAACCAGACAAGAAGAAAGACACATTTATTTGTCAAACTATAATAAGAGCAGCCAGCATGACATGTAACAGAAGCGCCAGTAGCTGCCAAGGCGGTGATATGCGGGGACTCCACTTCGGGGAAGTCCTGATCCTAGTAGGGAGACCTACTATGCATGTAGCTTTCCAGCCTGTAATTCCTGCGAAATGGGGAGAGTTGGAACTGGTGAGTGTTGGGACCTGGGAGGTTAGCCTGAGCCACATGCACATGTCATTGTCAGTTCGGCTGTCTCTGCCATGCAGATGGGGGAGTCATGACTGATCAATGTTTGGTACTAGGCAGAGGCTGGGGTCAGCTGGCTGCAGTTCTGAGGTGTCAGGCTACAGGTTCCACACAGCTTAGGGGAGTAAAGATTTTCTGTAGAGGATTTCTGGACCAAAGCTGTGGAAATTCACTAATGAGGGCCTGCCTGTCCTCTTCCAATCTTTAGTAATGGTCTCTCTCTCTCAACACACAGAGGATTCAAAGGCTGAAGTGCTTCCTAGCAATTTGTATTTACTTTTTCTGTATGATGACAAGCGCACTCATCCTCCCAGGGTGGGCAGACTCTAATTAAGGCAGTAAATATTTGAGAGTAGGAAGAGCAGGAGAGTCGGAGTGCAACTGAGTCTGGCGGGTACGAACATGGAGAAGAGAAGTCACCGCCCTTGGAGTTGTGACGTTTCCCCTGGAGAGATCACCAGAAAAGAACAAACGTTGGAGATATTTAGCTGGTATTTAATTCAAATAGATTAAATATTAATTACCTTAACAGGAATAAAGTGAGAAAGACAAAAATGCCACAGAATCCATAAAACCTAAAAGTACTAACATTTGACTAGCTGCTTTTAAAGACTGAATGCATTAAAAACAACTGGACTTTTTGGTTGTTTTTACCCAGGGAACTGGTGAGCACGGAGCTGGTGGCCCTAAAGGAGAAAAGGTAACACCAGTTTGTTTTTTGTTGTTTTTTTTTTTTTTTTCAAAATGATTGAGCACTTTCACCTACAGGGGGCAGCAGTCACTGTGAGCAGGTGCCTCACCTGCGCGCTGACCAGCAGCTGGATGCTGCCCCTTGGGGGCGCTACTGAGCAGGGGTGTTTTATAAGGAAGAAGATGCTTCAAGAGAAACACCCTTAAGAATGGCCTGGAATCCTTGCAGGCAGCCAAAACCATCCAAGGAAGATCCAACTGGCAAAATGCCTGTGGCTCAAGCTCACTGGTTTTCTGTTCTTATAACAGAAGCTGTCGCAGGATTATTTTGTTTTGTTTTGGTGAGGTTTTATCGTGCCCAGTAGGAGTCTAGCCAAGCAATTATTTCAAAAACAGTTTTCAAGTTAAAACACCAATGTGCTTCCGTTGCGTTTTCATCACCCTCACTTACAAGTCCAGTTTTATCATTTGTGAAGACGGTAGATTAACTTTTCTCCAGAAAATACCACTCCGCTGCACAGTTTGACTGTAAAACTGTGATGACCTTGAACCGTGAATGTGAACACATTGAATGTGGCATGGTCAGAGAAAATACTTTAAAAAAATAAAAAAGCACATTAAATCTGCAGACAGGAATATGAAGGTTTGAAAATACTCCGCAGGCAGACGGCCTGTGAGAACTAGCTTCATTCATTCACCCAGTAAAAGTTCTCCTGATTGAGGGCACGATACTGTGACACAAGTCCAAGAAATATGACTTCTGCGCTTTATAAATCAACACAGCCAATCTATTCAAAAGACTGTGTATCTCTCACCAGAAACTATCCCTAAAAGATTCTCTCAGCAGGAACAGTGAGTTCTTTATAGACTGGCCATTCAAAAGGAAAATTCGTCAGAATACATAAATAAAACATGGACGCTCTGAAAAAAAATGGTTTTAAATTCTATAGCAACCCAAGTCACTCCTGTGTCTTGGATTTTTGAACAACACTATTTCCTGTGAACCAACAGCTTGTGGAGCCATCCCAGCCTGACAAATGCATTGCATTTTAAGCAATTGCGATTGGACATATGTGGGCTGCAGGGACAGCAGGACACAAAGCTTGTCACACGGGACAGCTGAGTGGGGAAGGGAGGTACGATGCCCTTAAAGCATTTAAATGGTGATTCAATTCTTGAAACAAAACAGCTGGCTTCTGTGTTGCCCTCTTCGTTAGCAAACATATGTCACTTAGAAATTCTTAAGACCTCGCTGATGAGAAATTCGATTCTGGAAAACAGGTGTATCTCAAACTTCAGGGACCATTCCTTCCGCTTGGAATCTTTTCTAATTGCTTCAGAATCTTAAGTGGAGTTAGAAAAAGCCGGTGGCATATCTGTTATATCTTCCTACCCAAATAAATGATCTAGAAGAGTCTACAGGGAACTTGATGCTGTGCCTGATATCAATGTACCTATGAAAGGGTTTTTTAAATTACCGTTAATGAAGGAGCAGCTCTGCCAGTAGACCATGTAAAGGCAGAAAGCCAGTGCAGCAGCTGCTGGAAGAAGGAAGTCACCTCTACACCCACATCCACTTCCTGTCTAATCTGGATCCATCTCTTGGCTTTTGAAAATGGTGTTTTTCACAGTGAAAATGTGAACTCCTTAGTGGGTCTCTGCTGACGCTTGTGATGTAATCAGGGATCCCAAACCCTGACTGCGCATAGAACCACCAGAAGAGGACAAGAACAAGGCCTGTGCTGAAGCCCCATGCACAGGGAATCGGGGTAGAGGGAGACCAGTATCTCTGTTACTTAAACATGTGTGAGATGATTCTGACATGCAGTCGGGGCTGGGAACCGCTGAGGGGTGGGATGAGCATCAGCTTTGGGACTAAAAGTTGACTATGGTGTCAACTGTTGTATCACCCTGGGAAGCCGCCTCATTGCCCTAAGCATCAGTTTTCCCATGTGCACAGTGGGCATAATCATCTACAGGAAGAATTAATGGGAGGATTAAAATCTAATGAGATGGACTGACCTGGAAGCACAATTCTCAGTGCAAATTGGGCTCCCAATGAACATTCATTTTTCTTCTTCCCTTTGTTCCTTCTGCTCGTGAGGTCTCATTTAGCTCATTTTTGCTATGAGCTATTATCATCCTTAGTGCCTTGTCTTGTTCCTCTTTGCAGACCTCATCATAGTTCTGAAGGGAGGAGACTCAAGTCGGGTTGTAAAGTAAGACTTAACTAAAAGAGTACTTTTAATACATCAACATGTGAATGATTCATTGCTGCTGTATAATATACCACTTCTTAATACACTCACCAGCAATTTAGAATTATGAAAAACAGCCCATCATTTGGAAACGAGCATCACCTTGAAGCAACAGTGTGAGAGCATGTTGCCCTAGGATGTGCACAGAGATCACTTTGAGCATAGTAGGCACATCTTACGTTGAGAATACTAAGACTCGGAACCACTGAGGGAATCCAACTCAGTGTTGATGTAGATGGCAATGGCAGTCATCATAAGCACAGGAACAGACCTCCAGCACTGAAGTCTGTCTTCTGCTCTTCACTGTCCTACGCTTATGGATTTGGTGGAGAGTCATGTATTTGCACATTGGTCGGTGAGAACTCCTGCTGTAGAGACTGTGGGACAAAGTGGTAGGACAAGAACTCCTTGGAAACATCAGGTTTTTCCTGGAGCAGAATGTTACAAGAACCAGATGGAAGCTCAGTAGCACATGGCCTTCTAAACAGCATCAAAACTGTCAGGCTGAAAGATGGTCTTTTGATGCTCTGCAAATTCATCTCTGTCTTTAAACTCCTATCTACCATGATGAGTCACTGCAATGTATTTTAAACATGAAAAAGAACCCATATGTGTCTAATATTAGGCATAAACATTTGCATAATTTTACGTGCATGATGGGTTCCTATGATTTTAACCAAGACCGAACTCACCCAGGGAATGCAAACCACAGGCTTTGTTCAGTCCCTCTGCTGTTCCTCATTGGCACTCGGCCTACCTCAGTTCAAACACTTTCTACCATAGTTCAAACCACTTTACCATCATAGCAGCACAGCCCCTCCCCCCGGCCTTCATTCTTCCTCTATTATTTTGGACAGATGTGTGCATACAAGTAATTTCTAGCCCCTTTACTTGCTTACTTCTGTTAAATTAGATGAGACTAATTGCCAGGTGTATTCTTCCTTTATGACTATATACTAGGGATGTTAGCACAAACCTGATGAGCAACATGAAGGTCAGTTTAGAGTTTTACAAACCAATTATGCATTTGTGCCTTTAAGTGTTCACTGCCTTCTCTATCTTCCTACATTGAACACGATTTACTATCTTTAGAAATACACATACCACCTACAATGTGATAAAGTACTGCTGGGGATATACAAAATGTGTTTTACTAGAGTAAATCATATATCAGGGCTGGAAAGATGGCTCAACAGTTAAGAGCATGTACTACCCCTACTAAGGATTCAGGGTTAGTTTCCACCACCCACAATGGAGAGCTCACAGCTGCCTCTAAACTCTAGCTCCAAGGCATCTGACATCCTCTTCTGGCCTTAGGTACCTGCACACATATGGTATACATAAAGACAAACACACACACACACACACACACACACACACACACACACACACACACGCATACAAATAAATAAATAAATATCTAGCATACTCTGAATTTTATAACCATTACTTCAAAGAACTTACTAATTTTTAAGATTAAAACTCAAAGAAACCTAGAGAAAAGGCTAATTATGTATAGGGCATATATGGACATTATAAAAATATCCTAGAGAAAAGGCCAGGAATATATAGCTCATATACGGACATTACAAAAATGATGCAGTCAGTCTGCAGATGAGCAAAATTGTAGAACATACAGGTATAAAATTTACACACCCATTAGCCTATGAATTGACCGTCTAGAAGTCCCTAGCACAATTGAATGAGATGTGGTTTTGGATTTCTCAGACAGAACTTTCACATGACTAGCTAAAGCTTTGAAGCACGAAAAATTAGTACTGTGGCTTAAATTTTTTAATAAAATTAAGATTATACTTGCAAATCAAGAATGATAGTTAATACAAAAATGATCATGTCTATCCATTACATAAAATGCCAAAATATTGATTGGTAGAAATGTATAAATAAGCCAAAGACTTTAGGACTGTAATAATTCAATGGGCTATTGTTTGAAGATTTTTTTGGCAAAGACATAGTCACATTATCACACTGAAATCATTCACTGAAGACTTGTGTGTAACAGACAAAAGCTAGAGACAGCTCCATCGCTGGTCGGTGAGGCTGGGATCATCCTCAGTGCCTCACTCAGTACACTGGAGTGCTAACCAGCAGTTACAATGAATGGACAAAGTCACGTGGATCAAATGAAAGGTCTTACAAACAATGCTGAGGGAGGAAAGTTGTATACAAGATAAATCTCTATGGAATTCATCCTACATGTTCAAAAGAATTTATTACGACTCTGTAGAGAGAGTAAAAGCAGAAAATATCAACTGAAAGGTAAATACTGAGTTCAAGGGAGTAGTTTGCTCTGGGATAAGAAGACAAAGGGAAATGTGGAGAATTTCTTGTCCATGATTTTCTTAAATTTCTTCATTTTGAGTATTTAATAGTAAAAGGTTTGGCATATTCTCCTTTGTTTTCTGTATCTTTGAAGGTTAAAAAAATAAGAAAGCACCGGGCGGTGGTGGCGCACGCCTTTAATCCCAGCACTCGGGAGGCAGAGCCAGGCGAATCTCTGTGAGTTCGAGGCCAGCCTGGGCTACCAAGTGAGTTCCAGGAAAGGCGCAAAGCTACACAGAGAAACCCTGTCTCGAAAAACCAAAAAAAAAAAAAAAAAATAAGAAAGCTATATACCTACAAATACAACAATGAACACTGCTTTACAAAAATTCACTGGAGGTTGGAGGAAAACTTTTCAGAGTGGTATGTCGTCTAGGGCTGTGTTTAACGTAAGAATCAAGTGGCTGTTCAGTCGGATGCTGCAGCTCTGTCGACTGCTCAGTGATGTAATTCCTGCCAACAAGGATGCTCCCTCCAACTATAGTCTCTGAAAACACTCCTTCTATGTCACATACAAATCCTTCTTCAACACTTTTGACCACGACATCTTAGACATTTCCAAGCTGCTGCTGTCACCGTATCAACAAGAATGACTTCTGTCCACAGCCAGTCATCTCCACAGCCCAGGAAACGCTGGGGACAGCTGGAAGACCCATTTCCCTTTCTGTGATCACTGATTCCCCCCACCTAAAATAAGAAATAAGTCCTTAAAAGAAAACAAGAGCAGACTGTTGTGTCATTTAAATGCAAAGATAAATAATGTTTTTGGGTGCGCCAGAACAAAACTGTAATTCTTTTTCTCCTCTACATGCCCCGTCCTTGAAAAATAATTAACATCGTTCCACATTAATTTTAAATGTCCTAATGAAATGTTATGGATTCCTAAAAGACCTCAGGCATGGAAGAGTGCAAAGACACCTTACTAGGCAGACAGGATGACTAAGTCCAGAACTTCACCGAGGCCCTGGACCCAGGCAGGATTCTGTGGGTGAAGGAAATATTTCCCTTCCTTCACTCACTCATACAGCCTCTCTCTTCTGTTTTTTTCTCAACAGGGTGACTCTGGGATGCCAGGATTTCCAGGGTCTGTTGGCCCTAAAGGGCAAAAAGGAGAACCTGTAAGTATTTTATCTTTGAGGGCAGGGGGAGAAAGAAAAAATAGATGAAGAATTAAAAGTATTTTTCCAAACCAGCCCCAAATCCATGGCCTTCTAATTTTAACACTCTGAACAGCATTGTAGATCAGATTCTGAAGCAAGTACACACCATGCCAGGCACCAAAACTTCTATATATGAACTCATTTAACTCATGCAAAAAGTCCCTTGAGAGGTAGCCCATTCTATACATAGGTTAGGCTGGTTCCAGAACCCAGGCTTTCAAACCGTTTAAGTGGCCTGGACAGGACTGAACACCATATCTAAAATGAGAAACCCAATCAATATATCAAGACTGGTACAAATTTATCTTAAAAATTGAAAATGCTTCTCTCTCTGCTCAAACAATTGCTCTCAGTACCCCTCTGAAATTATTTTCCTTTCTGGTTTTTTTTTTTTTTATGAGATCAAAGTGACTTCACAAGCCACCTTCCAATATTGCTGTGGCTGGTTTCTTTAAAAACTTTTCTTTGAGTAGAGAAAAAAAAAAGAAGAAAGAGAAGAAAAGAAAAACCCTATCACATCATTTATATTCAAATAGGATCACTGAAGAGATTACAAAAGCCTAGTTACAAAAAAAGAGAGTTTGAACATTGTGTGTGTGTGTGTGTGTGTGTGTGTGTGTGTGTGTGTGTGTGTGAGAGAGAGAGAGAGAGAGAGAGAGAGAGAGAGAGAGAGAGAGAGAGAGAGAGAGAGGATGTGTATGTGGTGTGTGTGTGTGTTCTTAAACCTGGAACTCAACACTTTGGCAAGCCTGGCTAGCCAACAACATTCCAGAATCCTGTTCCCGTGCCTCCTTAGCCCTGGGTTGGCATGCATGCACTGCCATTGCCCTGCTTTGATGTGAGTTCTGCAAAACACACACAGGTCTTCAGTCTTGGGCAAAAATCAGGATTAGCATACGTCTCGCCTTTTTTGTTATATGTAGCACATCTTCTTAAATTGCTTCACCCATGTTCCAGAGTGAGTTAGAGATGTGGGTTGATTGGAGGTGAGGAATGGAGAAGTCACTGAAATGCCTGCGTGACAAAGAGAAGCAATAGGAAAAGTATTCCATGCCACCAAGCCGAGCTTCACCTCTGCACAGCTTCATTTAGACATCTTCAGTAGTCCTAGTAACTGATTCTGGTGGCTTTGAAATCACCACTGTGCCTATGGACCCTGATTATTGACCTTCTGGTCGTTTATCCTCGATGTCCTGTCCAGGCCTCCCCAACAGCCTCTAACAGTGTCCTCCAGCTGAGGATTCCAAAGGGTCTGGGAACTATCATGTGACTCTTCCCCCAGCTCACCACTCCTGTGCACCACTCAGAGCATCTCCTAACCTCTCCTTGGGCTCTCCACTGTCTCCCTACCCAGTGATTGCCAACCTCAATTGTAAGTTCCTGGGTAGACCATGGAGGATCTGACGAGTAAGACACAAAGCAGAAAAGAATTTTCTGTGAGCAACAGCTGTGCTCTGTAAACGTGAGTGTGGACTCAAAGCCTGAGAGTTTAGCTCAGGAGTTGTGGGTGGAGCCCGGAAGCCTACATTTCCCACAAGTGACACCAGTGCTGTTGTTCCAGCATCACTGAGGGGTGGAGTAATGCATGGTTCCTAGGGGTGAGAGGCCTTTATCTTCTAAAGGATTCCCTCTGGCTCTCTCTCCTGCCTTCAATGTTCATGGGAAGCCTGGCTGCCCATGTGGACCAGTGTTAGCCCTGTCCTTTTTATTTAGTTAATAAATAAATAAATAATAAATAAATAAATAAATAAATAAATAAATAAATAAATAAATAAGCTTCTTGGACTGGAGAAATGGCTCACTGGTTCTAAGCACTGGCTGCTCTTTCAAAGGACCAGGGTTCAATTCTCAGCACCCACATAATGGCTCACAACCATCACAGCCAATCAGATCCAGGGGATCTGGTATTGTATGGTGACCACTGTGGGCACCAGGCACACACATGGTGTACAGACACCCATGCATGTAAAACAACCATACACACACACACAAAAAAAAAAAAATTGAAAAAGTAAGTAAACTTCTTTTCCCCCTAACTTCTGTCCTAGCCAATCCCCTCTTAATCCCTTGATTACTTTGCTTCCTCTATAAGCATTTTTGCTTGTCTTCCTGTCTTCCCACAAGTTTTACATTATTAGGCAGAACAGTTAGTTCTTTGTTGTTTCAACCTTTTTGTTCAAGAGCAAGATCTAGACTAGACTCTGCATAATAACCAGGCAGCTCATAGAGAAGAGTAGTTACCATCTAAAGTAGAATTTTGAACTAATGTCATGAACAGCAACATCAAAATGGCCACATGCCCCCCACTCTCGGGCATTTAGAATATGTGCAACATATCAGAGTTATAAAACGTGTGTACAAAAGGATCAAGTTAGAATCCACAATTTTATAAGGAAAGGGGGGCTCAAAAACTTCCAGTGGCTACCCCCAGGTAGGATTCAGGAGAGAGAAGACTGAATTACAAACCTGTGGTCAACCAGATTCCTACAAACTACATCAGTCAATGTAGTAGGCTTTGAACCAGGCTTGGCAGCACAGTCCTGTTACCCCAGCCATTCAGAGGGGATAAGGCAGGAGGATGACAAGCTCAAAGCTATCCCAGAATACAGAGTGAGTTCAAGTCCAAACTGGGCAACTTAGTGGAAACTAATCTCAAAACTAAAAGGTCACATGCGAGGCCTGAGGACACAACTCCACGTTAAAGCACTGGCCTACTTAATTAATCCCCAGGGAGTGGGGGATTCAGTGCAGAGTTCGAGCTTCCGGTGACTCTGGCAAGACTGATATGAAGTAAGTAAAAGCAAGCAGAGGCGGAAGCACTGCAGCCAGCCCATCGCGCATGCCTGAAACCCGAGTAGTTAAATACATAATGTCAGAATGAAAGTATGGAAAGCAAGACTAAAAACAAGGCCTTGATATAACATGGAAAACTTAACCCATAATAAAAGAAGACATCGTGTTAGGTAGATAGCAGTTTGTGTGGTTACATCAAGTAACAGATATGTGGCTTTGGCCTGAGAAAAGTTAGCCCCAGCTCACACTATAGAGAGAAGCTTGCTTCATTTGGAAGAGGCGGTCCTTTGCTTGTGACCACACTCAGCCACCAAGCTGATTCAAATCCTATGCCTTCATCTTTGGGCACATGTAAACCTCTCAGTCACCTCTGAAGAGGAAGTGAGCCTGAAGAATTGTGAGGGGGTTTCTCACTGCCTCTCACTTGAAGGCAGCTCATGTCATCTCGGATTAGAAGTCATTACCAGAATTAGACACACATTCCAATAAAATTGCAAAGGAGCTAGAAAATGTAAGAGAAGGTGACCCAGAGCCCATTGTGCCTAGCACAGCACATGGGACATGTGAAAATCCAAGACGGGCATTCAATAATCACTTGTCCTCCAGGAGTGAGATATTCAATAGAATAGCAGTCCCAAAATAAGATCCCACCATGATGCTTTTTAAACTTTTCGTGATTTTCATTTGTGAAAGAGCTTTTTAAAGTTTATAGTTTCCATCTTATTGGCCACTCACTCAAGTCAAATAATAAATACATCTGATTTTTAAAACCAAAGCAGGGAAAAGGAAAGACTGCCCTTAAAATCAGGCTGCCTGTGTTTTATAAGCTTGGAGAAATTATTTTACTTTTCTATGCCTCAGTTTCTTCAACTGTATATAGCTATAATAATAGCAACTTCTCATTGATCCCTGAGGATTAACTATGGTGTGTGTGTGTGTGTGTGTGTGTGTGTGTGTGTGTGTGTGTGTGTGTGTGTGTAACCAGAAGGTTGGTAACACAGCAGTGACAGCAAGGAGACTATCAGAAGTGGGGGTGATGCTTCAGATCTCTCTCTCCAGGGGACCTTCACCCTAACCCCAATAACAATCACCATCAGCTCCACTCACTTCAGGTCATTTTGATTACACCATAACTGACTCTCTAAAGAGCATCCTTGACTTAGCGCTTCTGTGTGTTGAAATGCACAGTTAACCTGAGTGGGAAAATCAAGGGAATACCTGCCGTTTAATGCTTACCCATACCCATCGCCCTCACCTGCAGATGAATGCGTGTGAATTCATCTTCATTTCATAATAGGAAGCTTTAGCCTTGGGCTGCGTTTCAATTTGACTGCTGTTGGGAGCCTCTAAGTAGTATTAAGATGATTAACTCGGTGCTCATTTGGGAATATGAAGGATTCTGTACATTCATTCTCACTTACCCTGGTCAGAGTTGATTTCTAAGGGTTTATAATTGATTCTGGTTTCTACCCGTTTTCCTAGGGGGAGCCTTTAACAAAAGGTGAAAAGGGAGATAGGGTAAGTAGACGTTTAAGGCTGTCTTGGGTTTTCTATTTTATTGATTCTCTCTCCAGTTTGTTGTGTGATATCTAATAGATTTGATAGAGTAAGCTTCCTGAAACTTGTACTTTCCTCTGATGTTTTTACTGTCATCTGTAATCCTTGGTAAATACTATCTTGTGGTACTACTATAACATGTGTATTTTTATTTTACATTTATTGGGGGGGGGTAATGTGTGTGCCACATTTTGTATGCATGCCTTGGTATGTATATGATGGTCAGAAGACAACTTGTGGGGGCCTGTTCTCTCCTTCCACCATGGGGGTCCTGAGGACTGAACTCATGTCTTCAGGGTCAGCAGCAACTGCCTTCACTCTGGGAGTCATCTCACCAGCCCTATTCAGGTTTTCTTTAGCCTACTGCTATTAGTGGTTAGGCCTCAATGTCATAAAAAGTCATCAAGTAAGAGTATCTAAACTGGCAGGGCGGTGGTGGCACACGCCTTTAATCCCAGCACTCGGGAGGCAGAGGCAGGCAGATCTCTGTGAGTTCGAGGCCAGCCTGGTCTACAGCACAAGATCCAGGAAAGGCGCAAAGCTACACAGAGAAACCCTGTCTCAAAAAAAAAAAAAAAAAACCAAGCAAACAAAAACAAAAAAGAGTATCTCAATTGTCAGATAGTGGTGGTGCACACCTTTAATCCCAGCACTTAGGAGGCAGAAGCAGGTGGTTTCTGAATTCAAGGCCAGCCTGGTCCATAGAGTGAGTTCCAGAACAGCCAAGGCTACACAAAGAAAACCTGTCTCAGGAAAGAAGAAGAAGAGGAAGAGGAGGAGGAGGAGGAGGAGGAGGAGGAGGAGGAGGAGGAGGAGAAGAAGAAGAAGAAGAAGAAGAAGAAGAAGAAGAAGAAGAAGAAGAAGAAGAAGAAGAAGAAAGAGGAGAAGGAGAAGAAGAAGAAGAAAGAGGAGAAGGAGAAGGAGGAGGAGAAAAAAGAAAAGGAGGAGGAGGAGGAGGAGGAGGAGGATCTAAACTACCAAACTAAAACAGGCAATACAGATTTCCAAAAAGTTTGTTAAAGACACAAATTGTACTTTCAAGTAAGTCATGGAAAATAAGAAAATATTGTGCTATTTTATGTAATCATTTTTCTGTTTTTATTAAGCATCTGGGAGCAGAGCCACCAGCACACACCTCTTTGAACTTAACCTATTCTATCCTGCCTCTCATCTGGCCATCATTTGGTGGTGAATGAGTCATTGCTAATGTTCCATGACATCCTAGTTAGGGTTTACTATTGCTGTGAGGAGACATCATGACTAACGCAACTCTTACAAAGAAAACATTTAATTGAGGGGGCTCACCTACAGTTCAGAAGTTTAGGCCATCATGGTGGGGAGCATGGTTGCATGCAGGCAGATGTGGTGCTGGAGCTGAGATTCCTACATCTTGACTCAGAGGCAACAGGAAGTCGACTGACTGTCACACTGAGTGACAGTTGAGAAAAAAGACCTCAGAGCCTGCTCCCACAGTGACACGCTTCCAACAGAAGGTGTGGCCCAGATTAAAGATGTACCCTCCAGCCTCAAGGTCTAGATTAAAGGTCTGTGTCATCCAGCCTCCTCCAATAAGACCATATTTCCTAATAGTGCCATTCTGTATGAGCTTATGGGGGCCAAATACATTAAAACTACTACACATGATGTCACAAGTGAAATTAAATGAGGAGTTTTGTTACTTATTAGCAATAAGGATTCTGAACCTTGTTTTAGGGTGAGCATTACTCAACTGCACAGCTTCCATAATATCCACCTTTGTTGTGTGCTAACTACAATTAGAGTCAATTAAAGTATCAAGATGTCTGACCCCATCTGGATTCAGGAATGAACCATATAGCAACTCTTTTATTTACAGGGAGAACCTGGCCTATCAGGACCACAAGGAATAAAGGTAATCCCCTGGCACATTTTTCAGTCACTGTTGCAACCTTAATGAAATGGTGAAAATAATAGTAACATTTCACTTTCCTTTCCATGCATGCATTTAGGGGGAACCTGGAGATGCTGGTCCCCCTGGTTTAACAGGAAGCCCAGGGCTCAAGGTATGCACTTCATACGTTAAGGTGTCTAAGAAGTCACTGTTGGGAAATAATGTGGGAATTACAGCCATCCTGTATTCAAAAAGGCTTTGTGGTGTGCCACTCATTTTCTTCACAGATGTTCTCAGAGATTTTTATCTTGTTTCCATGGTTACCCCACCACCACCACCACCACCACCATCACCATAACCACTGGCTGCATTTGTTACAAACATAGAAGCTAGGCTTTTGGGTGTACAGTAGGATTTTAAAATTGTTTTTCAGAGCAAATTCACAACAGCATCCATAAAAGCTTTAAGAGTAAACAATGTCAGTTAAATCTATGACCCTGTGCCACATTCTTAGCAGGAAAAGGGTTCAGGATCTGTTTCTACACTAAAATTATGCATCCCTGAGATACTTGAGTTTCCCCGAGGTAATTCTCCAAGAGTGTCTCAAGAAAAAGCAGTTGGGGGAGGTGTGAGAGAGACTCTCAGGGAAGGCTCCCAGGAAGTGAGTGCATCAGGCCAGTTACCCAGTTATCTGCTGATAAAAGCAGACCCATTAAATGAAACATCTCAAAACCTTCTTGCTAAGCTCAGAGCACATGTCAGTGCTATACACAAAAGGTGGGATGCTGAGAAGTCTGTCTCTTCCCTATAAAGGGCACATAGTATTTCACCAACATTCAGATGCAACCTACTTTTATGCAAAGTTAAAGTATATGTCATCTTCTATTTTAGGGTCAGCAAGGACCTGCAGGTTCCATGGGGCCCAGAGGACCACCAGGAGATGTTGTATGTATAATATCTTTAATATTTTGAAGTGGAATTGAAATTAGGACATGTCTTAAAGAACTTCAACTAGTGATCTGAATTATGCTACATTTCCCAAAAACATGGGTCACTGCTGCCACCCAAATCGATCACTTCTGATGGGGGGTGGGTGCTACTAGGAAGTCCTTTGGAGTGGAGCCCAAAAAAGCCAATCTTTGAAACTCAAGTTAACTCAATTGTCAGTAGTCAATACTACTGCAAAATAGAGGAAACCGGAAATGTCCAAAGAAATAAGAGAAAAAAATCAAGAAGACAGCAAGCATTTCCAATATGCTATAAGATAGTCAGTCACTGAAATGGGTTCCACACTCACGCACGCATGCCCACACACACGCATGCGCACACACACACACACACACACACACACACACACACACACACACATGCATGCACACATGCACGTACACACACCCTCCACACCCTCACAGTCTTTGGAAGCAGTTTTTCATCTGTTCCCCCAGATTTCTATCCCTTGGATAATCTCCTAGCCTCCCCATGTGAACTGAGAGCTTACCATCAACTGAGAGCTTACTAGATCAAAATGGAGACAAATCCTGGCTGCAGCTCTCAGTGACTCTCTGCCCATGACTGGGACTCTAGCTGACAGACTTGAGATTTCTCCTCTTTTCACCATCTTGGAAGCAGCCCATGACCTCTTCCCTGCTCTCATGCTCACTTCCTGAACCTCCTGGAGGAGACTGCTTAGCATCATAGTGTGCTTGCTAATTTGAACATCCAATCCGTAGGAAAAGGTTTTTTTTTTGTTTGTTGGAGACAGGGCTCCTCTGTGTAGCCCTGGCTGTCCTGGAACTCTCTCTGTAAACCAGGCAGGCCTTGAATTCAGAAATCCGCCTGCTTCTGCCTCCCAAGTGCTGGGATTAAAGGTGTGTGGCACCAGCAGCCTAGAAACAGTTTTTATTCCTCCTTCAGGCCAATTATTATACCACTTCAGAGATTCCTCATGGAAAGACACCATAAAAAAAAAGAGAGAGAAAGAAAATGCTGGCAATAACACAAGATTAACCACAAAATCTTCTGGTTAGACTGAGCTGTCAGCCCTAGGAACCAAAAAAAAAAAAAAGAATAAAATCAAATGGAAAAGAGCCACTGTGGCTAAACATAAAATATCTTGACTACTTAAGTTGGACTGTGGTGCCACCAACCACCACCCTCCCTCCTCCTCTGAGCAACTGCATGGGTGGAACATTCCAGTTCTTTTCTGTTTCCCATTATAGCCATTGACTTCACTTGAGACAACAAGCCACATGTCTTCAGATAACATTTCTCCTTAAGCCAAAATCGACATTACCTTTTAGATAGATGTCAAAATTCAGTCCTCTTACAAAGGTAGACTGCTATTACATTAAGAGATGTCTTAACTGTTCTTTTCCTTTAATTCTATATTTTCTAGGGATTGCCAGGAGAACATGGTATCCCAGGGAAACAAGGCATTAAAGGAGAGAAGGTACTGTTTAGACTTTATTTTTGTATAGGAAGTAAGAAAATAGAAAGAAGAAACCAAGGATCCTAAAGTCATCGGAGAAGCAAAATATTAGCAGAGGGCTTGAGCCTCCCAGGATCTGTCAGTGCAGGGGATTGACATTCATATAAACTGTGATAGGGTGCCCCTGGTGTCACACATCATTGCAGCCATGGTTATGGCACCAAAACTCCAGATGGCAAAATGAGCTAGCTTGGAAATGAAGATGTTAGGGCTGAGGTCAAGCCATGAATTCTCAGAAGTCTCTCTGCCTTTTAAGACCTGTTTGGATGTGTGTGAATGTAGCATGTCAATATTGCATCATCCCCAGGGAAAAAAGGCATTTAGATCATTTAAAGAGCTTCAGAAATAAACACACCCTTTGTGCCCATGTTTATGCACAAGTTTGTGTTTCCTGGTACTGTTAAACTTTATGTAACGGAACTCATTTCAGAGTCTGAATGTATTTAAAATAACAAGGGCGGGTCCTAGAGTGAGCTAGGCAACTGGTAAATGCTTTTGAGGGTCTCAGTACAGAAGTGGACATAAGGATGAAGTTTGACTGGCTGTGGCAACATAAAGCAATGGAAACTGCTGTCTCCCAACTTCCCGCCTGAACCTGAGCAGAGAAAGAAAGACTGTCATCTTGTTTCTCACAGGGAGATCCTGGTGGAAGGCTAGGCCCTCCTGGACTTCCAGGTCCAAAGGGTGATGCTGGGCCTCCAGGGAAAAGCCTCCCGGGAAAACCAGTAAGTATTGCCCTTTTACTAGGATTGACCTTGAGTGTTCATTTGCTGCTAATTCTGGGCCCCCAGTTTCAAGACACCAAAAAAAGAAATAATCATCTTATACCCTAGCTCATAAAGCTAAAACAATTTGAATGTTTGGTGCAAGCCAAGAGGTCTCTGCTGCAGAAGATGTACAAGCAGGCAACATTTTACAAATAACCTGAGATGTTTGAAAGGCCCCAGCACCTTATGCAGTGATTCCTTAGGGATCAAAGAATCTTTAAATACTAGTTGCAAGTCACAGACCTTCCTAGCATACTGCCTTAAAACACATGCTCAACATTTCCCTTCCAGAATTTGAGGATATAACCACAGACCATCACTCATAGAAAGTGTGTGTGATACATGCTGTACTCAAGACAAGGGAAACTATCACCAGGAAACCCAAAAGCCAATATGCTTATTTGATTTGCCCATACCCCTGCCCTTTTTAACAAGTATTAATGGTGATAATTCTGAAGATTAGATGTTTAATTTCACAGATAAAACCTCTTATATTTTGAGCTCATTATACAAAATCTATAACCATCTAAAAATTTTTTTTCTGTTCTTAATATGAGGTTTACACCAGTAAAATGAAGGATAATGAATCATGTTTTTGAATTATGACTTTAATGGGATGTATGGGGGGTCCAGCCTCTCAATAGCCCTTTCCCAGGGTCCGGGAAGAATCTATGACCAGCTGATAATCCAATCTTTGACGATACTAAATGAATCTATGTACACAAAACTCTGTAGTTCATACTCTTTATTTTTCTGAGTCAGTTCTCTCTCCACACAGCTTCAGTTCTGTTCTCACACTCAGCTCCTCTCTGACCCTTCTCTTCCTGTCCTCTCTTTTGCTCTCGACCTCATCTTCATCTTCTGATGCTTCGTCCATTTCATTCCTTCCTCTCCTACCCTCCTCACCCGTTTTCCATCCAGCTACAGTGCCAAAAGCTATGCCTTGCTGCTTTCTCCTCTGGCCGAGCAACTCTGCCCTGAATCTTGCCTCAAATGCTTCACTGCACCTGGTATGCAAAAAACCCTTTTGTTCTGAGTCAAATGCTCTGGAATGACACTTGGCCTGTGAGAGGAAGGAGGGTCTGAGCTTCATTTGCACAAGAAACAAAGTTATGCACCTAGCATCAAGTGGTGTCTCCAGAAGGGTGTTTACCTTAATTCAGGAGACCATTTGCCATTGTGGCCTAGGATGCTTGAGAAGTATTTCATATAAATACACTGTTAGGAGTTCTTGGAAGCATACATAAAACACAAGAAAATCATTGCAGGAGCCAGCTAACATATATACAAAAGCTAAAATATCACCAAGACTTCTTAAGCCATGGCTTGACCTCTGGAAAAGTCCTTGACCTTCCAGGTAGTAGCTTTTGTCATAGTAGCTGGATTCCATTACATTATCCTGTGGCTTGCAGCATGATTTCTACATTTTTGAAAATTATTTAGAAAAAGAAACGTAATCATCTTACTTTTTTTTTCCTTTTAGGGATTAGATGGAAATCCTGGAGCACCTGGTCCACGTGGACCAAAGGTATATAGATTTCACAGCTAATTTTTAAAAGAATTAATAATTAAGAAAATGTAACTGAAAAATGCACATGTCTTGAGCCTCATACTAATAGGAGCACTTGGTTTCACAGGGTGAAAGAGGACTGCCAGGTATCCACGGCTCCCCAGGGGACACAGGCCCACCCGGGGTAGGAATCCCCGGCAGGACAGTAAGTGGTACTCAGTCAAGTTACTGAAACCCAGTTGGTTACATTTTTGTCTCCACTCTTATTCAGTGCAGTGCTCAAAGTCTTACATAAAGCAATAATTAAAGAGAAAGAAATAGAAGAGATACAAATTGGAAAGGAAAGAATCAAATCATCCCTGCTTAGACACTACTTAATCCTGTACTTAAAAGACCCTGAAGACACTGCCAGAAAACTCTCAGAGTGGTAAAACTTTTTCAACTATGTAACAGAATACAAAATAAGCATTAAAAAGTACTAGACTCTCTATATAGTATTAAGAAAGTTAACAAGAAATATGGAAAAAAAAATCTCACTCAATTAGACCAGGCATGGAGGTGGGGAGAACCTACCTAAAATTTGCCTGACTAAAGAGGTCAGAAACATATTCAGTGAAAACTTGAAGGTACTTAAGAAGACACCAGGGGTTGGACACATCACTTATGCTCATAATCTGACAGAATTAATGCCATGAGAATGTTACCAAAAGCCACCCATGCACTCAATGTAATCACTGTCAAAATTCTAATGATGTTCTTCACAGAACTGGAAAAAGCAATACTAAAATATATATGGAGGCACAAAAGACCCAACCAACAAAAGCAATCCTAACCAGAAAGAGCAGCTCTAGAAATATAATACCTGATCTCGACTTATACTACAGAGCCATAGTGTCAAAGCTGCATGGTTCTGGCACATGAAAAGATGTGTAGACCAAGGGAATAGAGTAGCAAATTCAGAAATAAAGCCACACTGCTACAGTCACCTAATTTTTCATAAAAGTATCAAAAGTATTCATTGGACCAAAAAATAGCCTCTTCAACAGATGGTGCTGGGAAAAACAGATCATCACATATAGAAGAAAGTAGGTCTATATCACATACCCTGAAGAAAAATCGTCAAAATAAATCAAAGATTTTAATATAAAACCAGAAACTACTAGAGGAAATATGAGGAAAAACTCATCAAGATATAGATCTTTGTAAAAACTTCCTGAAAAGAAATCCAGTAGTATGGAAAGTTAAAAATTGATAAATGGGAGAATGTGAAGCTAAGAAGCTTCTGTACCACAGAGGAAGCAATTGCCAGACTTCAGAGGATGACAGAGATGGCATCCTTGTGCTAAATATTTCATACAAGAGTTAAAGGCCAAAATAAATATAAGTAAATAAATAAATAAAATCCTTTAACTCTTTCCATCAATAATGGGCTAATGAACTACATAGTTCTTAAAAGAAGAAATACAATAGCCAATAAATAGCTCTTAAATTGGATAACATCCCTATCCATCAAGGAAATACAAGTGAAAGCTGCATTTGGGTCTGGGGTGATGACTCATCAGTTCAGAGCTGGAACTGTGTGAGCTTCCCAAGGAAGTGAGTTCAGTTCTCAGCACCCACATCGGGTAACCCACAACATCCTGTAACCTCAACTCCAGGAGATCCAACACCGAGACTCCCCTACATGTACACATGCATCACACACACACACACACACACACACACACACACACACACACACACACACACACATTTCAAATAATAAACATTAAAAAAAAACTTTCAGATTCCATCTCACGCCAGACAAAAAAGCTATCATCATGACAAAAGCCAAATATTGATACTACTATGAGGAAAGTGGTAACTCTTATCTACTACTGGTGTGGATGTAAACTACTACAGTGTCTACAGAAATCACTAGGAGGTCTCTCAAAAGCTAGAAATAGAACTATCACACGCCCCAGCTATACTACTGTTGGATATATACCAGAAGCATTCCAGCTCGGTATACCACAAAGAGACTTTGCACATTCATATTTAGCTGTTCACAATAGCTGAGAGATAAAACCAGCCAGGAGGGTTTCTCAGCAGATGAAGAAAATGTGTTGTGTATACACAAGGAATTTTATTCATCCCATCAAGGAAAGGGAAATTATGACATTTGCAGAAAAATGGATTCAACTGGGAATCATGCTATTAAGTGAAATAACTCAGACTCAGAAAGACAAACAATCCATGTGGAGCTGTGTGTGTGTGTGTGTGTGTGTGTGTGTGTGTGTGTGTGTGTGTGTAAGTCATGTAAGTGGAAATGGAACCATGGGAGGAGAAGAAAAAAAGAGTAATGAAATACATCTGACAGAAAAGTAGAAGGCATGTCTTGTGGTGAGGATGGGGACCACCAAGAAGAAAACAGGCCAGGAGAGTGCATTGGGGGAGAGAACCCCATAAGAGCAACATGTGTTTAAAAACGCCATAATGGAACCCATTATTTTACTCACTGCTTTTAAAAGATAATAAAACATTATATCAATAACTCACTAAAGAGATAACAAATTTATAGGGAAAAATACCACTTAGGGGCACAATAAAAAGGCAAAAAAAGGCTTTGATAATAGCAATATTACGCATATTTTTAAATAAGAAAGAGAACCCAGCAAATGCTGGTGCCAACTGCTTAAAAGAAAATTTTAAAGATGGGGTCTTGCTATGTAGTCCTAGCTGGCCTAAAACTCACTATGTACAACAGGCTGCTCTAGAACTCGAAGAGATCTGCCTGCCTCTGATTCCCAAGTGCTAAAATTAAAGGCATGCACCACCACAAATTCAATGCCCCAAAGATATACACAATCCGAAAGAATGTCATTGGGTTCTTGGTTAACTTCAACCTCACTTGAGTTATTCCAAACCACAGCATTCCAGATGTAGAAAACAACCCCTGTACTGCTAGTTAGTCATCTACTCCCGCCACTGAACACTGGAACCTGCTGTTTCTTTCTTTCTTTTTTTTTTTTTCATTTTTCTTTATTAAGAAATTTTCTACTCACTCTACATACCACCCACAGATCCCACCTCCTCCCTCCTCCTACCCCCCAGCCCTCCCTCTCAAGCCACCCCATCTCCCCCAAATGAAGCTCTCCCATGGGGAGCCAGCAGAGCCTGGCACACTGAGCCTAGGCAGGTCCAAGCCCCTTCCCACTGCACCAAGGCTGCGCAAAGCATCACACTACAGGCACCGGCCACACTAGTGGAAGCCTGCTGTTTCTTAAGAGGAAAAGGAGGGCCTACATGTGTCTGAACCGGTTATTAGCTTGATGGGACTCCTACTGTGGGAGCTGGGTTGTCTCTGACTCTTTTGCTTGTTCTCGGGACTCTTTTCCTCCTGCTGGGTCACCTTGCCTAGCCTCGATATGAGGGATTTTACCTTGTCTTATTGTGTCTTGTTTGGTAGTTGTGTCTTAGAGGCCTGCTCTTTTCTGAAGAAGAAGAAGCGAGGGGGAGTGGATCTGAGGGAAAGAAGAGATGAGGGGGAGCTGGGAGGAGTGGAGGGAGAGGAGACTGTGGTCAGAACATATTGTATGAGAGGAGAATCTACTTTCAATAAAAAATAAATAAAAATAATTAATAAACAAATGAATAAGAGGAGAATGATTCAAGGAAGAAATGGAAGAAGGCCCAGGCCTCTGAGCCCCATGGGCAGTTGGTTTCTGGTCTGACAGGATTTGGACACATTGCTTGCACACTTCTGAGTGTATAGCAGCAGAGTGAAGTGAAAGAAACACCCACATGTGTGAGCAAAGTCTTGTACTTCTAGTCTTGAATATCTGGTTCTTTACTACTTGAGGTCATGGTGAGCTTTTCAGAAACCATGGGCAACGCTTATAGAGCTTTCAAAATGTGCAAGTGTCCAGCCCTGTCTTTCTGCTAAGTGAACAACAGGGCATTTATAAACATCTCTGGTAGAATCTGGAAAATTCTCTCTCTTTTTACCCAGGGCTCCCAAGGACCAGCAGGAGAGCCAGGTATTCAGGTAAGTGACATCACTAAATCACTCACAAAATAAGCTTAGTTTTCTTGATTTCCAGAAATTACTCAAAAGACTGTCCTAAACAACATTTTTTTTCTTCATTTTTCTAGGGCCCTCGAGGTCTACCTGGATTGCCAGGAACTCCAGGGACCCCAGGGAATGACGTAAGGACCTTTCCCCAACTCCCATTCCACGTCCCTTTTAATCTGCTGTAACTCCCAGACGTTTGAATAAGTGGCTTCTGTTTTTAGGGAGCTCCAGGGAGAGATGGAAAGCCAGGCCTCCCAGGCCCGCCAGGTGACCCGGTATGTAGACGGGCTTTGCCTGATTTATGTATCTTTAATGCACCCAGAAGCCAAACAGCCTACCAAGCAAATTTTGCTGTCCAAACTAATTACAATGCTCGGTGACTGCTTGGTGATTTTGTTTATCCCCATTATTTTGTAGAGGGGGGAAAATTCAGGCTGGGTCAGCATTATTGTGTGTGTGTGTGTGTGATGAATACTTATTTCCTACGGGTATAATTCAGCTGTACAATTTTGCCCCAGGCTGAACCTTAGCGTTTAATGTCTTTGTTCCATGGAAAATTGAGATAAAACAGATAGCCACAATTTCTCGTCTTTCTAATGCTAGTGAGTAAATGAATTTCATTTTTCCAAATGAAAGTTTGCAGGTAAGTTACCTCCAATGTGGAGCATATCCATTGATTGAGTGCCTCTGAACCGATGAGATGATTAAATTATGAAAATCGGATTGAAAAATCTCAGAAAATGCATTTAGATGCTCACCGTGTGTTACATAGTGTTATTTCAGGTCAAACCTTGCTATGAGTGACAGTCAATCCCTTTAAATAGCCTCAGCTCCAACACTTATATTTTTGACAGGCCATATGGCACATGGCATTGTATTAAGAGTTTTGTATAATAAAATCCAAATCTGGCCCCTCGCTGGGTCTTCACAGTTCTTCTCACCTCCCACACGGCTTGTGTCTTTGAGCCTTTAGAAGCTGCATGCGGCAGCATTATCCGGCCTTTCTTTAAGTCCATCGCTTTTCATTGTGCCCCTCGTCTCAAATCCTGTCAACTGTCACTCGGGCTTACACAGTGTTTCTTTGAAAGGACATTTTAGGACCTGTGGCCCAAACACAGCCCACGTTCCCCAGGTGTCTGTCTTGTCCCTTGCTGAAATATCTTTAAAACTTTTATAAGAGCTAATTTTAAGGCAGACTCACCATACAGTCTTCATATTTCTCAGCAGCCTGATAATGCACTTGGTAAAGGAAGATTTCCTTTCAACAAATGATTAAATAAAACATCATATTCCTTAAAACCAACAACACAGGGAACTCATAACAGTTACCATGTCATGAAACTCCAAAATCCAGGTGTATGATCAAAACAATGATACATAGGAACTTGCATGATCTTGGTGAAGGAACAGTGAATACCCTAATATTCTGGCTCTATCAGTACTGTGTGTAAGTTTCACACCATGGAACATAAAGCTGAGTGAGTCTGATGGTGAGACTCACCATCCCCAAATTTCAATTAGCATGGCACTTTAAGAAAAAAATACACTCATCCACTTCTCTGTTCATGTTTATTGTGTTCATGTTTATGTGAATATCCATGGATTTGGGTTTCTCTCTCTCAACTACAGATCGCACTTCCTCTCTTGGGAGACATTGGCGCCTTGCTGAAGGTATTCTTTTGCTATAAAAGAAGTACACATTGGTGTGTAGAAAAGGAACTTTCTATCAAAGATAGAATTAACGAATTGCTCGGCCCAATAAAACGATTCAAATTCTAATGTTAGCAAATATTTAAGACAGAAAAACGCACATGCCTTGTTATAACTTGCAGCATTTACTCCAGTCTTACCTCTCCCTTCCTTCTGGCTCTCACATTGTGGAGATGGAGATGGGGGAAGGCAGGATTGAGATGAAATGCAGGAAGGGTGACATCATCGATACCTTTAAGTAGACCCTGCCTCCTCTGCAGCAATACTTTCTCTTCCTGTCTCTTACCCACTCTGGCTCACTGCCCTGAAGCCTGTCTGCCACCCTGTCAACTCTGGTCAGTCTCAAGATAAAAATCAGTGCCACTAGCTTACAGATTGAGTTTTTATATCATGGAAGTTTACAAAATGAACTATAAAATTCCAAAGCCAACAATCACCCTAACATCTATTACCCTGCTAAACAAAAATTATCACTACTGATTATCTATTCCATGAAGTAACTTGGCCTAAACCTGGTGTCACACACCTGTAATTCTAGCCTTTCAGAGGCTGAAACAGGAGGACAACAAGTTACGGTCCAGCCTTAACTGTGCAGAAACACACACACACACACACACACACACACACACACACACATACACACACACACACACACACACACACACACACACACACACTCACACACTATGACTACCACTTTTTTCTTAAATACTTTGCTATGTTTTCTCAGTAAGAGTGAGGGATCTGGTAATGGAGAAGGCTATGTATATGTAGTCTCTGTGCAGTCTAGTAAGAGCATGTGAACCCAAATGAAAATGTAGCCCTTCATTTTACTCTGAAATTTCCTATGTTTGGATGAACAGAACATGTTTGCATTCACACACCACTCAAGCTTTACAGGTAACTTCACTTATACAACTGGTGTTTATTCTAATGATTTGCCTAATGACTTACATGTAAACATGAAGAGTTGTAGCATTGAATCCATCAAAAGACAAGGTCTACTTTCAAGAAAAAATATGTAAATATAAGTATTAATATCAAGACTTTTTAGAGGGGTTATTAGGAACTCAAAAAAGCAGTATTTTCTTATAATACAGATTATTTGTGAGGGTTTCAGAGGGCTCTCATATTGAATTATAATTATATGCCAGTCAGTGCAACCTTACTTATTTCTTTCACATTTAGTCTTTACCAAAATGTTATGAGCTCGGTCTAGAGTGTAATTCTCATTCATTGAAGATACTTGAAGTCCCAAGTGGCTAAGTAATTTGCCCAGGCACATAACTAAAAAGTGGGAGGTTGACATAGAAATACATGTCCTCGGTTATTAAGGCCCGGATTCTTTGTAACAGCGATAATGTTAGAAATGAGAAGATTGTAGGAATTAGATACTTGAATTCTTGAAGGATGAGAAATTTGTATACTTAACCAGAACTAAATGGTCTGACAGAATATAGGATGGCTCACAGAACAGACAACATCCTTAGTGGACTCTGCTAAAAGGAGAACCAGGATCTCGTGGGTCTCAGGGATGTGAGGGAATGGCAGTCTTGCCAGGGAAGCCTCCTCTGACACATCACACTACTCTTCCAATCCCAGAATCAGCTCAGTCAGGGCCTGAGCTCCAAAAGAGCAGACTGGTGAGAAGCAGACAGGGAAGTGTGGCAGATGATCCCAAAGAGCTTTATTCAACAGAAGAAGGGGGAAACAAGTAGCCCCCAAACAAACCCCAAATTCAAGAATTGATTTAGAGATTGACCTGTGAATGAAATTTAGTAACATAATGTTAAATCCCGACCCTGTAACCCAGCCCACTAACTCAAGCTCCCTGTCTTGAGCCTTTTGCAAGCTGCCATAATGTGAAAAGCAAACCATCCCTCCCAGCCCTTCTAGGTTAATCTGTGTGCCAGGTTCTCTTAGAGTGAGACTGTGCATCGGCTAATGATTAATGCATCTTAATCATTTCTATAAAATAATACTGAGTCATTTTTTTCAAGAACCTGTATTAAAATCAGTTTCCCTTGCTTTATCTAACTGAAGAAAATGAGACCATGATCAAATGATCTAAGAAGTTTCTGTTGAGTTAAAACAATTGTCATTTTTTATCATTTTTAAATTTTTTTTCCTATTTTACTATTTCGCTAAAATCATTAGTGGAATCATCTATCTGAAAATGTTTCTGAAATCAGTATATAATAGATATACTGATATATATTATATATGCTGATATATAATATATATATATATATATATAATTCATCTTTTTCATACATTTGGAAATGTGGAGACTCTCTTGATTCTCTGGAGCCCCACTTTCCTCCTCCCTGCATGGTGGTTCCATGATTTTTTTTTGTGTTTTTAAATTCTTCTATCAATGTGTCAGTCCCATGAAATGATCGAGGTTATATAATTGTTCGATCAACTATATACATGATTCTAGTATCTTTTAACATATTTGGACCCTAGAAAGGACCTTTGCAGAGTTTAATCCAGCATATCTGAGGCAAATTGGCTTAGAATCTTCTCAGCATCACACCAAGTTATGTGCTAAGAAATAAATTTCTGGGAACGAGATATTTATTGGGTCAAAAATATTGGTTATGAATGACTTTACTCAATCACTGACTTATCATCAACGGCAAATCTCCATTCCTTTTTCTGTTCAACGATTCTTCCCACTACTGAAAACAATGAAAAACAGGAGTTCCTTTTGTCCTTCTCTGTCACCTGTGCCCTCTGTCAGTGGTCCTTAGTCTTTCCTGGTCATATTTTTATGCCAACGTTTTGTTTTAAAACAAGCTTTTCATAGACATTTTCCCCAGCTACATGATAAGAGTTTGGTTTGTCTTAGGAGTGTAGACACTTAAATCCGAGCCTTTTCAGATCTCCTGAAGATTGTGAAGTCATCGGAACGGTGTTACAACTGAGGTCTCCCATCTCCTCTTGGATTTGACCCTGGGTCAGGTCCAAAGCTCTCAAGTTCCTGTTCTTCCCAAGAATGCCTCCAGTGACAAACGTTAGCAGACACTGGAGTGCATCCCCGACTCACTCTGCTTTCCAATCAGAAATTTTTCCTCCCTCCCTTTTCTTCTCGTTGTAATTGCACAGACGTGGGCTGTTAGTTTGATAGACTCTGATCTTGCTGCCTAACCCAAACGTCCACACCGCTTCCCTTTCTAAACATGCTAAACAGTTAAAATTCAGATGGTATCATCAAATTACAGTCCCCACCCTCACTGTTTATTTGGGATTTTCCGTTGAAATGGCATCAGAGATGTGTGTGTGTGGTGTTTTGTTTTTAAGTAAAAGTTCACCAGTATCATAAACGAAGATTACTGATTAGGCTTGTCAAGTGTTTACCTCAAAAAGCCATCTTTCAAATTGGACAGACAAGTCTCTGCAAGGAGAGTAGCTTCACAATTGCTCATTTGACAAGGGTTCAAGTAGATCAAACCTCAGCTTCATAAACAGGTCTTGCGAACCTCTCAGTTGAGTTGTCTTTATACGCTCTAGAACTTCTGTGGCAACTGTCAAGCCAATGTCCCTGGGCTGAAAAGCAGCAAAGGGGATGCAGGAGGCACCGGGGAACCTGGGAAATATGATTCTGCGGTCAGGAAGGTGAGAGGCTTGTGGCATGCCTGTGGGTCCTACAGCACACCCCCTGAGTGTGCACACTCCCTGAGTGTACACACCCACGGAGTGTGCACACACCTCTTGCAGCTGTTACTCCTCTGTCTTCCAGGGTGATGTAGGGCCACGGGGTCCTCCAGGAGTCCCAGGCAGAGAGGGACCAAAGGTAAGGAAGTCCTCTGTGAGATTCTCAGCTATATGAAAACTAGAGAATCCCATTTTTAAAATGCACTACTCCGTATGAAACTTACTTTGGCAACGTGGGGCAAAGGCCATTTGCACATGATGCCATTGGTTTATTCCCTGACCCTGTCCAAATGACATACCCCAAGTGTTCTGATGGGAGATTTCTTTCTATTGTTTCAAACAATACTGAAATGGTCCAGTGTCAGCTGAAGTTACTGTCTTTTTAGGGAAGCAAAGGAGAGCGGGGATACCCTGGAGTTCATGGGGAGAAAGGCGATGAGGTAAGAGATTCTCTGATAAAACAGTTGGCTACTGCTTCTCTCTACTTGATTCAATGAAGGAAAGACACTGAGTTTTCACTAATGCATGTTTGATACCAAGACCATTGGAAACCAACTATAGTTAGATGCTTTAAAATAACACATTTTGGTTAATTATAGATGCACATTTATCTCCAGTGGTCTGGATGTGGAGACACAAAATTAAGGCTAATAGTTAATATGAAAGTTATGGGGTTTCCATTTTCAGGTAGCAGGTAATTATCTTAGTTCCCACAAGAAAAGAAAGAAGAGTGAATTCACCAAACAGAAATCTCAGGGTAGCAAAGAGGTGGAAAGAATATACCATGCAAGCGTACATATACTGTACAAGCATAGAGTTAGGGGCAGCTCCAGAGCCCAGGCAAGAGCCAGGGGATAATTTTGTACCATGATTGAATGTTAACAATCTTGGTTTCTCTATGTCTCTGCTCGGCTTCCAAACACTTGGGAGAAATAAACTGTGCTAAGGATCTATGCAGACTAGTTCAGGTCAACAGCTCACCCACCCCAGGACCAAGCACCCAGCTCAAACGTGTTTTTGAGATAATGTGTGATTTTCTGACTGTAAGCCACAGTGATACTCAGGATATCATTCTTGCCCTGCATAATTCACATTAACTCTTAGAAAAACCAATTAGAATGATGAATTGCTGTTAGTTTAAACTGTTTTGGGTGCTAATAGTTCTTAATGAAAGTAAGAAAGCCATCTGGCATATATTAACCTTGATGGTTGTGTGGGAAATTATGACACTATAAAATAGATCTATTTTCCTGGTTAGAACTGTATTTCACATTACAAGTTATCATCATTTATTATTGTTTTTATTGATATTCATTGTGTTCTAGAAACCTTTAAGATTTGCTTGGGATTGTTTTCCAAGTTAAAAATTAAAGAATAAGAAATACAACATTTATTTTCATTTATAAATAAAACATTAAAGGCATTTTTGTTTTTGAAAACAAGTAAGAATTAATGAGCTTTTGCTTCCTGGAGTTCCACAGAAGGTTTCAGTAAAGTATAAGCGCAGTAATGGGCTTTAACAGGCAGGCAGATTCGAGATGTGGGCTTTAGAGGCAAATGAAAAGGTAATAAAAAAAAAAAAAGATTGAGAAATAATCGCAATTTGAGCTTTTTGTAAGTGACTGTTAAATTCACTAGACGTTAAATTTTATTGATTCTGTAAGGTATTTTGCTGTCTTGGTGAGCTGAACCCATGGTTAATATTCATTGATATTTTAGTGTGTTCTTTCTTAGGTACACTTTGTGTACTCTTTGACATGGACCACACAAAATTCTGCAGAGGACTCATTAGAGTTCAGTAGGCTCTTTCTTTTGTCCTCACATCATAAGCATAATATGAATAAACCTGGCCCAACACACTGACTCAGTCCAGACTTTTGAAAGGAACAAGGCAGTATACCTTTTGATTTCCACCCAGATCAATAACAGCAAACATAATTGCATTATCTAGTTGGACTCAGAGAATATCTTAGTTACATACCTGTTTATTTGTTTAAGTGAATAAAATGTTAACCAACTGGCCAACAGACTGTAATCTCTTAACAAACATGCATTGTCTCTAATGTTACAAAACTACAGACATCTGTTCCTCATTCAGTGGAAGAGGTACACAGGGAAGAGCAAATCTTTTAGAGCTCTAGTTTTATAATCTTCCATTAAATTTATTAAGTTAGAGGAATCACTCATTTGTCATTCTTTGAAAAGTGGCTTCCATCAGGTTCTTCACATACATATGTCGTATGACTCAGCAGCAACGTGTAAAGGTGCTAACAGAGCACAGATCCTGCCCTTCCTAGCCAGGGAAAATTCTTTTTTGAACTTTATGTCTCCATGTAATATTTTACGATAATAAATGACAAGCAGGACATGAAAATACCATTCGTCATAAGGTATACAAATGGCGGCTGAATACCTATGCAATGGATTTTAATTTGTGTTTGAATTGGGCACTATGTGCTTCTCTTAACTGTCTTAGTCTTGAATGTCTATTTTAATGGCCATCTTGTCTTACAAAATCATCTTATCGCCCTTTAGGCCTCCACAGCAGCTTTCACTCTTATGACACAATTTCAGGGAGCTGAGAGAGAGACTGATGAGAGTCACGCTTTTTACTTATGTAGCAGGGTCTATTTTAAAGTTTAATTCAGCCATCAAAGGTTAATGAGTCCCATGCTTACAAATTAGACAACCTAAAACCTCACTCAGCATCTCTTGGCTGACTCAAAGTTGAGACTTAAAGTAACAAAATGAGGAAGAAATATGCTTATGCATATCTGAAACAGGTACATGCAGAAAAATATGGAAATGTAGATGTTTTAAGATAAAGAAATTTATAATACATGTGCATAAGCTTCAGTCGTTGAAAAGTACCATTCACAATGGAAAATTTTCCTTTCCGCTTACAAAATTATAAAAATTGTTTATAAACCCGTAAAAGTAATGATAGGAAAATGAAGAGAGTCAGTCCATCATAGTAATGTGAATGGGCCACACTTGCACATGTATGCATATATGCATGCATACATACAGTAAGCCAATGGGGTTGATACAATCTTAAAGAAAGAGTGACTATGTTCTTTAAAACAAATACACAGAAGATTTTTCCCAAGATGTATTATTCCAGTACACTCTAGGAGATTCTTTCAGTATTTCTTCACATCATCCCTGTCTTAGTTACTATTGCTGTGAAGAGACACCATAACCAAGGCTACTTAAAAAAATAACATAATTGAGGGCTTGCTTACTGCTTCAAAGAGTAAGTCCATAATTATCATGGTGGGCAGCATGGCAGAAGGCAGACAGGCATGGTGCTGGAGCAGTAGCTGAGAGCTTGCCCATCATCTACAAGCACAAGGCAGAGAGAGGAAGACTTGGCATGAATGGACTTTTGATACCTCAAACCCCACCCGCAGTGATACACCTCCTCCAACAAGGCCAATCCTCCTAATCCTTCCAAAACAGTTCCACTACCCATCAGCCAGGGACCAAACATTCAAATATATGAGCCCCTGGAAGCCATTCTCATTCAAACCACCACAGCACCTCATGAATAAACCTGAAATGACATGTGGTCTCATTTGGTATTGGACACACAGATCTGGTTCTTAAGCCTATTGGTACAAAGAACCATGATCTAGATCGGTCCTGTTGACATCTCATAAAAGATGCAGCCACTTTACCACAGTCCTTTTTTTTAAAGTATAAAAATTCATCATTTAAAAACGGTAGGAGGAGCCGGGCGGTGGTGGCGCACGCCTTTAATCCCAGCACTTGGGAGGCAGAGCCAGGTGGATCTCTGTGAGTTCAAGGCCAGCCTGGGCTACCAAGTGAGTTCCAGGAAAGGTGCAAAGCTACACAGAGAAACCCTGTCTCGAAAAACCAAAAAAAAAAATAAATAAATAAATAAAATAAAAAAAAAATTAAAAAAAAACGGTAGGAGGAGTTCTATTACAATAAATAATATTAAGGCAGTGTAAAAAGAATACTTTATCCGATAAAGGAGATTAAATCTTGAAAGAATGGGACCATTCCATCTAGAAGTTGGGTCTTGTTGTTTGTTCATTTGCTTGCTTATTTAGTTGGTTGGTATTTACACTGCTGGAGAACAAAGCCTGAGCTTTGTGACCACTAGACAAGTGCTGTACCACTGAGCTACAACCCCAGCCCTTCAGTCTATAACTTGACGCATTTCATGTTAATCTAAAACCACAAAAGGGCGACTAATTTATTTTCTCTGATTAAAAAGTGATCTAAACCACTTATAGAAAAATTGGTAAAGACACAAAACCATAAAAATCCTAAAACTCATACCTGTTTCCACAACACACTGAGGTGGTAATGATAGTATTATGCATGGCTCACAATCCAAACCCTAGAAAACCTCTGAAAATCCTGGAAAACTCACTCGGGTTGGCAGTAAATGCGCCTGATAGCCAACTCCGACACAAACTCACACAGGTCTGGTCTGTGTTCTCCATCCTATCAGAACATCACACTCTGCTGTGGAAGTATTTATATATTTATGTGTTACTAGAAAACTGCTGCTGCAGATACCAGGGGGATCATGTCACATCACTCACAATGGATGCAGTTACCCATGCAAAAGGAAAAAAAATACCAGAGAATCCAGAATTCTGAAACAAACCTGATTTTAAACCTCCAAAAAAAGATCTATTTGGGCTGATAAAATGAAAATTTATTCTCACATTTAAAAAACACATTGCTAACAGTTTAATAATTTAGCTTCTATACTATGTAACACTTAAGACTTCTATTTTTCTGTATCATCCAATGGTTTTCTAAACAGCAATTAATTGTAAAACTTTCCATATTGTGGGTTTCACGGGATTTATTCAACTAATGCCCTGTAGTAGAACACCTGGTAAAGAAATAAAATTACCTTACAAATTTCTTCCCAAGTACAAATAAATGTGCCAGATTTTTAGTCTTTCCCATTTAATAATTATCCTGCCCATCCAAGGAAGGGGGTGGGCAAAGACCTTCTCTATGATGCTTAAGCCATAATTTTATAGTTAAATTCACAGAGAATTTTTGTTCTTGTAATGAACTGAACAGATAACCTAAATGTATCATAAAACATTTTCTACTTTGCCAGTAGCTGGATGAAACTTGGGTGCAAGCGTTTCTCTACTGGCACTACACCAACCCAAAGCCTGCACTTCCAGCTTTAGTAGTATAAAGCTCTCAACAACACTACTGCTGGTTGGTGGGTGTAGAACATCAGAGATGGTCTATGAATCACCAAACAGATTAAATTACCTTTGTTACAGATTCCGTGCCATGGCATTTTAGCTTATCACCCTTACTCTAAAGTCGACATTTAGGAAATGGAGAGATGTCTCTGGTCTTTCAGGTGTCTCAGAACACTTTCTGCTCTCCAGAAAACCCAGGTTCGATTCCCAGCCCGCCAAATGTGGCTCACAACTATCTGTAACTCCAGTTCCTCTGGCCTCTGCAGACACCAGGCACACACATGGTACTCAGACATACATCTAGACAAACACCCATACAGATAATTTTTTTAATTAAGTAGATATTTATAGGTTGTACATATTAAGTTTCTCGATTAGTTAAATTCTCTGATTAATTTTCAATAATAAAAATATTTGAATTGCGAAAATGATTTGTTCCTGACAATAAACTTTATGATATGAACTCTTTCTTCCAGGGTCTTCAAGGAATTCCTGGCCTCTCAGGAGCTCCTGGCCCAACTGGACCCCCTGTAAGTATTTGATAAAACTATTCTCCTCACAGGTCATACCTGTAGGGATGATACAAGATGTATTAGCCGGGCGGTGGTGGCGCACGCCTTTAATCCCAGCACTCGGGAGGCAGAGCCAGGCGGATCTCTGTGAGTTCGAGGCCAACCTGGACTACCAAGTGAGTTCCAGGAAAGGCGCAAAGCTACACAGAGAAACCCTGTCTCGAAAAACAAAACAAAAAAAAAAAACAAAACAAGATGTATTAATATTCCTGGTGCCTTTCATGCTCCATATCTCTCTGTAGATCAGCCATTACCTAGAAACAGCCTCCTTCAGCACCTCCAACTTTCATCTGAGATTAGTTAAGCCTGCTTAGTGTCCTGGAGACTTCTTGTCAGAATTTTTGCCAAGCCAAAGAGCATCCTCCCACTCTATTGGAAACAGAAACTGGGTTGGATACACAAGTGCATTCTCCTCTTAGTTATAAATTTTGGTACTAACCTTGGAAGAGAGATTCAGATGCAACATAAACTGAGAATTTTCTAGAGAAAAATAACAGGCCAAAGATTATCAGCTTTAATTTGTTTTATTCCTATATCTGAATTTTAAAAAATCTATTTCACTGCCCCTTGAACACAGCAATATGGCCTTTGGGTTATCTTGTTTTCCTGGAACAGAATCTGTTATCAGTTCCTACGGGCCAAACCCAATCTCTTATTTAGTGTTTAATTCTAAGCAATCCTAAAGTTCAATTGCAAGATAAAACACAGGACACACAATCACACTTGAGTTTCAGACCAACAAACAATGTTTGATAAGTTGGTCCCAAACAATGTGTTTTCCTTGCTAAATTAATTCCACCCTGTTGATATCTTTACTTCTCTGTCTCTTCCTCCTCTTAAAGGTTCTATGCCAGTAAATTATTTTTATCTCTTAAATAAGGGTGTGATTATTCACTAATGTTTTGAATCATGGGTTTGCCATAATTAAAAGTTTATCATTTATGCCTGCCCCTCAGTATGTCAAACAAGTCTATATAGTAAAACTTAAAAGTATGAAAGAGAACTGGAAAAGAAACCACAAGAATTACTGCTAATTCTATTCTCCAAGAAGAATTAAAATTATTTTTGTTTTCCTTTTAACAACACAGATCACATAACTCAATATGCACATTGTTAATTCTGCCCAGTCTTAGAGTATTTAAAATGTTGATCGCTACCAAAATTATACCTCATTTAGAAAGACATAATGTTATGTAAATTGCCGTTTAAACAGCAAGACTAAATTCTTAAGTGTGTCAAAAGGTTCCAATTAAGGTCATTAAATGTGGTTGGCCAAGGTGAAAAAAACCCACAGACAGAAATTTCACCCTCCAAAGGCTTATCAGGAAAATACAGCTGCTGTATCAGCCCGAAGAAATATAAGCTTGTAGAACTGATTTAATTAGGATCAAATGACCTTCGAAATGGGTAAGTTTTAGCAACCAACTTCCAACAATACCTTTTGACTATTGACTTGTTGGTTCTATAACAAACTCAGCTGTCCATTTCACAGGGCTTAACAGGAAGAACTGGACACCCTGGTCCCACTGGAGCAAAAGGTGACAAGGTACAGAGGAAAATGGGGCCTGGGTTTGGGGTAAGGCGGGACCATTTACTGAGAGATCCATGCAGTCAAGAGCAGCCTACACTTTTGGGAATCCGGTGCCTGTGGTGTGATGCCTTGCACAGCCTTGGTACAGTGGGAAGGGGCTTGGACCTGCCTAGGCTCAGTGTGCCGGGCTCTGCTGACTCCCCATGGGAGACCTTGATTTGGGGGATGTGGGGATGTGGGGTGGCTTGGGAGGGAGGGCTGGGAGATGGGAGGAGGGAGGAGATGGGATCTGTGGGCGATATGTAGAGTGAGTAGAAAATTTCTTAATAAAGAAAAATGGAGAAAAAAAAAAGAGCAGCCTGCAAGAGCAAATGGTGTTGGGAAGTGGTTATTCATGAGGCACACTGGTAAAGATGCTGGTCTAAGAGTGGGTTAGAACACAGGAGGTGTGTTCCTAGAGGAAAGTAAGATGAGAGAGCACAGGGGTGGGATATAGAAAATCCAAACTGGATGCAGAGGCTGAAACATCCGTCCATATGGAAAGGTGACTGGTCCAAGTCTCCCAAAGAGATATAGATAGATGAGATGGATTGGAATGGATCAGAGAGCTCCAGCTATGGCTGAGCCTTCATCTCTTCGGGTTTTTATAACAAAATATTATAAATTGGCTCTAAACCGCATCTCTCACAGTCTCAAAGTTCCCAGCCAAAGCACGGATGGGTTTGGCAGCTGGCGGGGCCCATTTTCTTGTTCACAGAGGGCATGTTCTAAATGAGTCCTTGTGAAGTTCAACTGTAACTCAGCTCCCTTGGGCTTCTTTATCAGGGCACTGATCCCATTCATGAAAGTTTCACCCTGTGACCTAACTGTCTCCCAAAGGGCCCATCTAATTCATCACCCTATGAATTGGATTCATGCTATAGGTTTGGGGGAGGAGTACCCAAACATTCTGAACAAGCTCTCTGGCTCCAGATGCCTTACTGGCTGTAAAGACCATGAACAATAACCAAAGGTCTTATGAGACAATCTGGAAATGCTGTCCCTAGAAGGCCACAGTAGGAATTCACTAAAACCATGCTCCTTGGGAAGAAGAGTGTGTTGGTTACTTTAGTTGCTATTTCAAAACATCCGAGAAAACAGCCATAATAAATAGGAAGGGTTTATTCTGGCTTACAGTTGGAGGCTGCAGTTTATCACAGCGGCAAGGCCCTGGGAGGAGGAGATCTTGGGGTCACACTGATTCTGCAGGCAGAAGCAGAAAGAGGAGAATACTGGTGCTCTACTCTCCTATTCAGTCAGGACTCCAGCCAGTGGGACAACGATGTCCACATGCAGGGTGGGTCTTCCCCAGCTCTGCTAAACATCTCTGGAAATGTCTTCACAGACACACCCAGAGGTGTGTTTCCATGGTGATTCTAAATCTCATCCACTCGGCCGTGAAGATTAACTACCACAGCTCCCAGCTGGACGTATGTGCTATGTTTGGGAGGGAAGACCAGCAGCATAGGAGTATTTCAAGCTGTCCTGGCGTAAGATCGAAAGTGACTTACAATGACAGTCCAGGCACAGCCTTATCAAATGGGGAAATAGTTAAAACTATTCTGATTAATTAAATAAGTGCCAAGGGGCCACATAAGCTACTTCAGCATCTCCTGCACATTTGCCAGGATGCCAGCTCCCTGAGCAAAATGGAGCATGGTGGTGTCAAGGAGCAAAACATCCCCAGGACACTTAAATGAAACAATATGCTTGTTCTAGAGAACCACAGCACAGTTTTGTCCTGTTAATATCTCAAGAATCTTTCTCCGCTCCACCAGCCTTTTTTTTCTTCTTCTTCTTCTCTATTTTCTATGAAAATGATTATGTCCTAGATTGGCCTTTGAAGTTAATGGGAATTCCACACTGAAATGAGCTTGAGGGCACAAATGAGAATATGACTTCTAATTGTGCCAGGAGGAAAGAAAAGAAGTATTCTCAATAGGCACACACTGTTGACTCATGAGAACTGTGATGTAATGCTCTAAAGGACATTGCCAGCCGTCAGCAGAACAGAGGGTGTCTTAGGGAGACAGCGGCCATCAGAGCAGTTTGGGGAAGACACAGCATGCTTATTCAGTGTATGCATTCTCAGGCGGTACATTGCGTGAGAAACTTTACAGTTTATTTGTATTGATAAATACATTATGGTTTGTGGTGTTTCCCTTTGTTATTAGAAAACAGAGGAGTGTCGAAATAAATTCTTCAGCCAGATTCTGGAAGAGGAGTAACATCCCTCAGAATTCCTGGACAGTATATGTCAGTCCCTCTGGGTGTTCTGCCAATTAACCATGTGTTGTCACTGTCCCTGATAAACACAGCATAGAACATGATATGAAAGATACCATTCTACAAACAATGCTCACTTATAGGAACAGCTGGCAAGACGCCAGAGGGGCTGCAACAATCGCTTACTAGGAACTGGTAAGGATTCTGTGCTTTGTAGAAATCAGTTTTCAAGTTTCAGTTCAAAAATCACAGAATAGTTATTGTTCCATAGTAAGCCATTATTGTAGTCCCTTTTTGTTTTTCAATTTATTTCTCCTATAAGCAGAAACCTAAGGTTATTGAAAATGTATCAATAAATTAAATTAGTAGACCATTTCCCTAAAACAGCATCATACCAAAGTAGCTTCCACTCAGTAAGACACATCTCACCTGGGTGTCAAGTTTGATATTAACCAACAGATATGGCAAAGGTTGTTTTTGATACTTTGGTTAAATTTGCTAGAATGCTCTCTCTGGTTCTAAAAGGCTGAAGGTGGTGGAGGTGAAGCCAAGAATCAAGGCTGGTCCAGAGAGCCACATTCAGTGCCTGTAATCTACACATGAGCTCTACCCTATTCCCCATGTACACATAGGAGGACAAAATACCCCTACTGTACTCAAAGTCCAGAACAGATCACCTAGCTTGTCTATCCCCAATGAAATTAAGAGCCCTTCCTTAGAGCTCACACAGCGAGAATCCAGCTTGTAGAGAGGTATTCACTTTCCTGGAGTGGGAAAATGTGTTTTACTCGGTCAAGGAGCAAGGTAGGCAGAAAAAGAATGCAAGGCTGAGGCAACATGACAGCCCATGGTAATTTTAGGAGATGGCTCTTTGAACAACCTGGTTCACAAATCTGGAGTGGAAATGCCCAAGCCATTCATCTGGGCTTGTATATCTCCTGCAGGGCAGCGAGGGACCCCCTGGGAAACCTGGACCTCCTGGACCCCCTGTGAGTTGTTTAGGTTTAAACTTTAATTCTGTGTACTTACGACTCATAAGGCACATTGCTTAAGATGCTTGCAAAGTTATGTCTTCTGAGTTTCCTGTGTGCGTGGGCATGCACACGTACACGTGTGTGTGTGTGTGTGTGTGTGTGTGTGTGTGTGTGTGTGTGTGTGTGTGTGTGTCTGTATGTGTCTGTGTAAATGACAGACAATGCAGCATTAGGTAAACCTAGTTTGTTCCTGTTTCAGCTCAGCTACAATGTGTAGTGTTCAGATTTGTTTTTATATTATGAACTTCCCTTCCATGAAATCAGTATGCATGGCTCTACACTGGCCTGACTCTAGACTTCCTGCAAGGATGGAGAATCATTTGACTACCATATACCTTCTCAGAAAATAAAAGGCCTTTAAAAGGACATCCTTTTACAGCCATGCAATTTGGACTTTCAAAGATGCTGTGCGTGTTCACCCCATGAGTGATGTCTAAGACGTGAGGAAATTCTACTTCCATGGCGCGCGGCGAGAAAAATGCACAAGAGCCCTGGATGTTTGCCCGAATGGTCTGCACAGACTTGCACTCTTTCAGGAAAGCTATGGAGAGGAGAGAGGCCTCTCTCTGTGGCAAGTCTGCCCTCGTGTGGGGCCATGATCAAATCGCAGCAAAGCTGAGGTCCATATCCGTTATTTCCTGCATTGCTTCTTAGGAATTTAAGAAGCCAAACTTAGGAGAGAGACGCACGGCAGCTGTCTGAAAACTAAAACGTATGTTATGAGTGTGTACAGTTGCACACTTGGCACACACACTAACTGCTTGGCTCTCCCTTTTTTTTTTTTTCGAGACAGGGTTTCTCTGTGTAGCTTTGCGCCTTTCCTGGAACTCGCTTTGGAGACCAGGCTGGCCTCGAACTCACAGAGATCCGCCTGGCTCTGCCTCCCGAGTGCTGGGATTAAAGGCGTGCGCCACCACCGCCCAGCGGCTCTCCCTTTTTTAAAACACATTCTTCATCTGAATCTTCCTTCACAAAAAAGCAAGGCAAAAAATTCATGGAGTTCTGATTCTAAAATATGCTCCTCACTTCAATGGCAAAAAAGAAAAATGTATCAAGAGAACGGTGTTTTTCTATCAGGCTTAAGAAATCTTCCTCTTGTCTCTAGATTCTTCCAAAATAATTCAATTTTGAGACAGAATATGCATCTTCTCTAGGAAACTTTCTTAGAAGTTTCTCAAGTCTCTTACATCTCTTCAGGGCATAGCATACTATAATACAGCCCCTGTTCGGTTATTGCCCAATGAATGAAGAAACAATAAAAGGATAAACAGACAGAGCATTTTCTTCCATCACTGCTGTTTAGAAGATGCATGTGAACTGTGCTCACTGGACACACCACCATTATCCCCAAGCAGTAATGAAATGATGGCTTCTTGGATATTTAATCTAAGGATCTGTTATCATTTCTAAGCGATTCCAAACTAAAAGTCTCTTGTGCATTTCCCCCAAATGCTAACATGGATGGAAATTTTCAAACTGAACAATGAATTTTCTTTTCATGCTCCATATTCACATGTAGGTTTTTTTGGGGGGATGGGGGTGAGCAAGCTCTCATTCCCCAGTTATTAAGGGTGTCTTTGTAGAAATATCCACATAGGATTGTGAATGAAGTTGTCCTCCGATTCACCTTAATTTTCTGTTTGGTTTGAAGAGACTGTGGGAAAACATCACTTTGCAGTGGCCAAATTGTTCCCTGTTCACATCTTCATCAGCCCTGCTGCATGGCTGCCTGCAGGTCAGCAGGCTGGAAACACAGGAAATTGGCAATTCAGAAACTGAATTTTAATGAGCAAATAATATGTTTTTTCCTGAATGCATTAGTGCCTCATCTGCAGGCTTAAACACTATTCAAACCCCAAATGGAAACATCCATGTGCTCCGGGCATAGCACAGGTTCCTTTTCTCTGTTTCCCCATCTTGAAACATTGAAGCACTCTGATATTCTGCTTATTGTATTAAACTCACTTAAAGTATAGAATAGGAAAACATAAGTAAAAATTAATACAGGAAGAATATCATTTGGTAAAATGACTGACGTTCAAAATACTAACTTCTGCCTCTTATTTCTTCCCTAAGGGTGTCCCAGTCAATGAAGGAAATGGCATGAGCAGTTTATATAAAATCCAGGTATCTACATGTCTAATTACCTATGGTCACTTTCCAGGCACAGGCTTCTATAACTTCTTCCCATCTGCTTTCTCCTCTTTTGAAGGGAGGAGTGAGTGTTCCCAGTTACCCAGGACCCCCAGGACCCCCTGTAAGTATAGATGATTATCTTCAAGTTGCTTTAACTGGACAATAATGATGGGGGGAACCTCTCAAGCTCACTGAAACCTGAATGTCACAAATGTAACTGAATTTTACAGAAGGAGTAAATAAGGGAAACCAATTTGAATAAAAGAAAAAATGCACAAAACCTCAATAATGGAAAATATTTAGCATAGCAGTCTCACTTTTTTTTCATTGTCGATCTAAATTCTAAATCAGCATCCAATTATGGTCATAGAAATAGCACCATATTGTTTCTTTAGAGTTATTTTATTTTTAATGGTGTGTGTGTCTGTGTCTGTGTGTGAAGCTATACATGGAATATGCACGCAATGCCTGTAGATGCCAGAAGACAATGCTAGATCCCCAAGAGTTAGAGTTACAGGTGGTTGGGAGCCACCCATCATGGGTGCTAAGACCTGACTTAGGTCCTTTGGAAGAGCATTATCTGCTCTCAACCACTGAGCCATCCCTCTAGAGCCCAAGTTATTTTTCTTAATTTTATTCTTCAAATCTAAACCAGCAAAAGTAAAATATGTACCATCTTTACATTTGTAAATGGGAATCTGAAGGAAAATGCTTCAGATTCTATAACTGAGCTTTCACAACAATTAAAACATATTTCTATGCTTTTCTTTTAGGGCCCAAAAGGTGATCCTGGCCCAGTGGTATGTATGTTCTTATCTCTGTGTAGTACTGTTTGTTAACACTATAAAGGGTACCAAGCAAAGATGGCCTGCCTTCTTAGGTGTGTATCACTTAAGGTGTCAGAGACAAGCAAGCAAATAGAGATATGCCAGCAAATGTGTTCTTTATTTCCAGGATGCATTAGTCCTGATGATGTCCCTGCCCTTGAGGTTCGCCTCTTTCCATCAGCAGGTTTTAAAAATCATCCTCTGATGTAGGAAGGCACATATAATGCTCTTGACAAATGGAACACTTCCCTCTAATGGCCTTCTTTTGATGATTGATTCAGTTTTAAGTAGCTCGTGGAAGAGAAATACTTAAGGGAGAGAAATTCCTTAATATGTCTGACATCTCACCAACAAAAAAAAAAAAAAAAGGAAAGGACTGTTTATTTACTTTGCATGTCTTGGGCAATTATTCTGCAGGGAGTGCAGACCGTCACAGACCTGCTTATTGAGTGGAATATATCCAGAGGTTAGCACTCAGCAAAGACGGAGATCATGTCCTCCAGCTGCCCAAAGGATGATAATTGTTCTCAGCATCTTTCTCAACTGTGGAGCCTCATGACAAAAGTTCTGCCAGATTCAATTAGATTTCCTTTAACCTCTGGCATTTTTTTCCCTGCCACATCCTTTCCAAGCAAATATTCCATCCTTCATGTTCCATTTGTATATCCTTTTAACCTCGGAGGGGAGAATTGAAACTTAAATGTACCTAACACTGAAGTAAGCTTTCAAACCACTTTCTGTTGCCATGTGGGGGGAAAAAATTAAGTCTTCTTATTATAGTTGAAGTTGGTAAACCTGTCTGAATAAATGTTAAACCAGAAAAGAGACAAACAATGAAAGTAATTTATATATATATATATATATATATATATATATATATATATATAAATATATTTTCAGAAAGAGATTTATCAAAGAAGTTTTCTTTGTTACTGAGCCATATACATATTAGATGTCTATTTGATTTACCCTAAAATAATTATTTCAAGTCCTTAGTACTATATTCTGAACCTCAAATATGTTATATAGAAGTTTCTTTTCTTTTGTAATTGGTTACTCTTCCTGTTTTTGCATCTTTAAAAATACTATTATATGTGTTCATCTAGAAATATATTGTTCATTTTTACTTCTATTTTCTTCCATCATATTGATAAAAATCCCTCTAGTCTTACTTTCTTACAGACTTATAGAACAGCACCCCTCTGAATCATATAGAGAGATTTAGACTTCTCACTGACTTTTCTGGAACATTCTTTCAAGTTCTCATGTTAATAATTTCAGGTTAAGGTAACGTTTTTAAAATACTATACTAAAGGGTAAATTATAGTTTATTAGCACTGGGAAAGTAGCTGGTCAAAAAAAAAAGGACCATTTGAGTAAAATCTGAAGAAATTAGGTCCCCTGTTTCTTAGCTGCAACAGGGCAAAGAATAAAAACGAATTGAAGGATAGTCTCTGTGTTTGGACTATGAACTGAAAAATATAGAGTCATTAAATTAAACATTGTGTGAACATTCATACTTATCATACAAAAAATTCCCGGAATTACTCCTTTGTGTGTTATATGGACACACCCACATGCCGTTCTCATCGTCCCCCACCATTTGCTGGATAAGAAGAAACCACACCCCACGGCACAGGAATAAACCAGGACTGGAAGGACTGTACCTCCCAGAGGGCATATTTGAAAAGCCAACATGAGGTGGGCGGAGGAAATGTACTCTCTGGGTATCCTTCAAGTCCCATGACATGCTAAGTCAGCTTTGTGTCACTGTGACAAAATACTTGAGACAGACAACTTAGAGGGAGGAAATACTAGTTTTGATTGACAGTTTCCAAGGTTTCAGTCCGTTGCCAGCTGCTCTGTTGGGCCTGTGGTGAGTCAGAGTAAGTACCAGGGAACACTTAGTGGGGCTAAGCCGCTAGTCTCATGGTGGTAGGAAGCAAAAGACAGCTGTCTTTTACAACTGAGCTCTGTCCCTAAGGCCTATTAAGCTATAAATCTCTAATGGGTTTATTGATGAGGTCAGAGCCCCCATGATCCCTGCTTCTGTGTGCAGCTACATTGCAGATCAGCCCTTAAACTCATGCACTTTGGGAAAATATTTAAGACTCAAGATGCAACATGTGGCAATAATATTCTTCTGAATAAACCTCTATAGAGAAGAAATTTACTTTCAGCTGGATATACTAATTGAATTGTTCCTGACGCAGAACAATTTTTCTTTAGCTCTTCAACACCTAAGTGATTTCAATTAAATATTTAATTATTGTCTGTTCTCAAACAAATACTGATTAATTAATCAATTATGTCTTCTATTGTAAGGAAAGGCCACTGAAAGTGTAAACAAGGAGACAGCTTGATACCAGGATATATTCTATGCATTGATAACTCAGGGCCACCTTCATACAGACTTACACAGAATAGAATCCGAACACTTTTTTTTCTTATTCTTGTGATTGATAGTGAGCATTGTTATATTCTAGTGAGCACTGAAAAAGATTTCTGAAACATAAAACATACCAAGTTGTACACTCACTTGAGAGGTGTGTGCAGTAACAACAATGATGGTAGTTACAGCTTTGGAAATATTTTCAAGCAGAATTGTATTTTGTATGCAAAAATATATCTACAGAGAATACAGTTTGAAAGCTTGCTTTTTTGTGTTGTTTGTTTGCTGTTTATTTGTAGACAAGGTCTCACTTGTAGACCAGGCTAGCCTGGAACCCAGTGATCCAACATCCACCTGCTTGTGCTTCTTGCAAGCCCCACCACATGGGCCAGCATTGTGATCTTTAAAGCATCCAGTGTCCTAAGAAAACATTTTCAGTTAGCAGTAATTAATTTACAAGAAATTATCACTATTTGTTTATGTTTCTGTACTTTGTTTGCCTGGGTATGTATATGCATCACATGCACGCTGTACCCACAAGAGGCCAGAAGAGGGCATCAGATCTCCTAGAACTGGAGTGAGCTATTGGAGGTGCTGGGAACTGAACCCCCATCTTCTACAAGAGCAACCAACTGCTGAGCCTCTCTCTGGACCCACTCTATACCTTTCTTGATCAAAATGTTTATTTGTTCAAATCATCAGCATTTTTCAACAGATTTTTTTTTTCCAAATGTTACTTGAAGACCGACAGTCTGGGATCATGCAATAGAATATATAAAGATTTTGTTGTTGTTGCTTTGTTTTTTTAATGCTGCTCTGTCCCCTTTCAGTACCTGTCACCTTGAGCAATGACTTAAATTATTGAAGGTGCCACTCCTGCGGTTATCTTACCAAGCATTTACAAATCCATGTGAAGGATGCTGCACTTTTCCCAAGCATTTACAAATCCATGTGAAGGATCCTGCACTCTTCCTAAGCATTTACAAATCCATGTGAAGGATGCTGCACTCTTCCCAAGCATTTACAATCCATGTGAAGGATGCTACATTCTGCTTTGAGAGCTCCAGCTTTATTCACTCCTAAAGAGTTCAATCTTATTATATTGTAAGCTAGCAGCCCCAGGTGTCTCACAAATTGGCAAACTTTATTAAAATCTGTTTTTCATTCTAATTCTTACTGAAATTGGAGTTATTAACATACTACAGGGATTCATCCTGATTAGATTTTTAACCAGAATAAAAATAATTAATCAGAAAATGGACTCATGCCTGGAGAATAGCTTTAATTCCCAAGCTATTTTCATACACCTAATGCTTGAAAATAGAGGATACTACTCATTAGCCAAGTTTGAAATCAGTGTTGAGGGACATGGGAAACAAAGACCTTGACTTTAAGTCATTTCTTATAAACCTTTGGTCATTGCTTCTGCATGTTTCACTTTCCTATTTTACAGGGAGAGCCTGGTGCAATGGGCTTGCCAGGACTGGAAGGATTTCCTGGTGTAAAGGTAAGCACCATGGTTGAATTTGCTCAATATTCAAAACTGTGTATTTACTTGCTATTACGCCAATAAGTGCTTTATGTTTATGAAGTATAAGGGGGCAAAGCAAGTGAAGCTTTTGCAATTATGGGACTTGTTTTCTAGGGAGGGATACAGGAACTCATGGGGAATGCATGATAAAAAAAAACACAGTTATCCAAAAATATTACAGAGAGAAATTGAAAGTAGAACAGGTTAAACAGTATCATGCATGCTTGATAGGGAGGGGGGCAACATCTATCATATGATATCCAAGAAAGCAAGAACTGAACAGTGACTTAAGGGAAGTGAGTTAGCCATGTCCTAATAAGTTTGAAGGAGGAACAATTCATGATGCAGAAACAACAGGTGTAAAGACCCTGAGACATGCCACCACCTCGAGGGATACTAGGAAGGTGAATGTGTGAATGCAGAATTCTTAGAGATGAGGTCTGAGAAGTGGGGATAGGGTAAAAAAAAAAAAAGTGACCCCAGACACCAAGCAGTGCTGCTCAGTGTGGCCACTGGAGGGATGGTACTGTCTGTGCTGTTAGCTACCAGGGATGTAAGAGATTGAGATAAGCTCCAGCATGATCTAATATTCTAGCTTGCTTTTTGTTGCTGTGATAAAATATTCTCAGCAAAAGCAACTTGGAGGAATGAAGGGGCTTATTTGGTTTACACTTCCACATCACACAACATCGTCAAGCAATCAGGGCAGAAACCTGGAGGAGGAGACTGAAGAGGTCATAGAAAAATTCTTAAGACTGGGAATCACAAGGAGAAAGGACCAAATCCATGAATGTCCAGTTAAAGCAAGCTGTATTTGGGGGTGCACCCAGGACTGGTCAGCCAGCTGTCTCTAAGTCAGGATTTGAGAGAGCAGTCCCTGCTGACCCCTCGAAGTCCCTTTTATAGGAGAGATAAGGTGTTCACAGAGATGAGAGATCTGGCTGTCATACATTGTTAAAAGGATATAATGAAAGGGAAGGAACAAGGGTATGGATATACATCATGTAAGTGGGGTTGCAAGCAGTTTGCATCAGCTCTAAGAAACAAGAACTTATTCTTAATTACAAATAGAAATCTTGCAATGACTTAACACAGGACAAACAGGAACTTATTCTTGAACTACAAATGGAAACCTTAACCTGCACAGAACAAAACGCAACTTTTTAATTACAAGCAGAATCCTTAACTTGCACAGGACAAACGGGAACTGTTTTAACTGCAAACAGAACTCTTAACTTGCAAGATATAGTTTTCCTGTTTTGGTCTCCCATTAACTTGCAAAATAGATTGTTCCCATTTTGGTCTCATGGAACGGCACCATTGCTTCTTGGGGTCTGGAGAGGGTGTATAATATGCAAAAGCATATGGTAGCCAGAAATCAAATAGAGAGAAGCAAGAAGGGCTAGGGTCCCAATATTCCCTTCAAGGTCACATCTTCAATGACCTGACTTTGTTCTACGAGGCCCCATCGACTAAAGATTCCACCATCTCCCAAGGGCACTAGAGGCCCAGCTAGCAAATCTTCAACATGTGGGTCTTTGAGGAACCATAGCACAGACCATTCCAGTATCCATGGGGGAGCTGAGTATAGTCAGATCAGTCCTTACAGTTATGGAGTTTCCCCAGCCAAGTGCAGACTTTCAAGCAAAGACACAGAATAGTAGAGGAGTGGGTTTAAACAATGTCCTGGCTTTGGCAAGTGAGTACTTAAACACAAATATATCAAAAGGAGATTGATGGTATACAGTAGGGAGAGATGAAAGCAAGTAATCATGGAATTTGAACTAGACACGAGAGAATCAGACCAGGCAGGGAGTGAAGGATAATAAAAAATTTGAACCATGAGTGAATCGAGGGTCATGGGGTTCTGGTGGTCAAAAGCTGGGATGTATGAGAATGAGATGCTGGAGGGTGTGAAATATTGACTCTCTCAGATGTAACTGGGAATATGAGGCAAGATGATTAGATGGGGCAATGAGGATCCTCAAAACAGGAGGCCCTCTGCACATTAGCATTTATCAGATACGTGAATATTTCCACTGAATAAAAAGTTATGGTATGTTTAAGATGAAAACAAATAGGAATTGCACATTTATATCCTTTTCCTGATTTTTTTAAAATTTCAGTTGACACATAATAATTTAGAGGTGAACTATGAAGTTTCTATATGTGTATACAGTAGATAATGCTCAAATCACTATATGTCATGTCAACACTTCCAACACTGGTTACTTCCTTGAGACAAGGATATTGAACATCCATTCCTCTAACTACTTTGAAATAAGGAGTGTGTTATCTCCCACAGTCATCCTGCTGTGCAACACACCACCAGATATTACTCTGTCTCATTGTAAACTAGCCTTGCCCGACCAATCTCCCCACACCCCGCCTCGCCCCTACACCCTCCCTCCCACCTCTGCGAACCACTCTTGAATTATCTATACCCATGGAATCTACTTCCCTCCATGAGTTAGATCATGCATTATTTATTTTTCTTTTGACAGGGACTTTATACTCTAAAGATATTACTTCTATCTCTTTGTTACAGTTCATATCCTAATTGGTCTTTGCTTTTTGTTTCTAATTTTAATCTTTCTGTAAAAACTTTATTATAGTCAAATCTAAACTATTTTTTATTTCTTCTTTGGATTTTTTTAATAGAAAGTGTTTACTTTCATTTATCAACCAAGATCAGATAGCTACTAGTAGATTCTCCTAGTTCCTTTCTAAAGTTAATGTTATTCTATTTTACATATCTCTATGTGGAACTTATATGAAATACAATATAAAGAATTATTCAATCATTGACTTTACTTATGACATTGCTCTCTCTTTCCTAAAATTCCTAATATGAATGCACTGTTATTTATGAGATTTATATTCTACTGCATTGACATACTGCTGAACTTTATACCAGCATTCCATTATTTTAATTATAGCTTTATTATATACTTAAATATCCATATTGCTAGTATCTATTATTCTTCTAATAGCTTTGCTCCATCCTCTCATTTATTATCTCAAGTGAGCTTTAATATTTTTGATCAAATAGCAGTCATGTAACAATCACCTTAAGTTTATAAATTATGATATTGTCTTACGCTCCATATCTCTTTATCAAGTCTTCTTTTATGTCCCTAAGCAAAATTACGAGGTGTTTTTTTTTAATATGGGTTCTGCCCAACAAAATTGCCATTTTAGTATCCCACGTGTAATCACTGGCATGTGCAGCATTGTGAACCGTACCTGAAACACCACACTGCCTCTTGAAAAGCAGCTGAATTGTTCTGTTTTTCAGAGCAGTTAAATGGATCTTCTGACTGGTCACTGGAGAACTACATGTCTTTAGTTCTCCATCTGTCTTGTCCTAACCCTGCAATCAATGGGAGTAGGTTAAGAAGAGATTTTCAGGAGACATTCAGTGTGATTCATCTTTCAAGTCATAGTAATAATGTTTATTTTGGGTAGAATTTTAAATATTGACTAATTTTAGCTGTAAAAATATATGGTCCCTCTTGAAATAAGCCAAAGCAATATCATGAACAATGATTTTCATTAGGACTATGAATTACTTTGTTCTCTAGAGGAAGAAAATATAATAGGTTGAATTGTGTATTCATTTTTTCTGCTTTTCTAGTGTTCTTCACACAAGTTAATAACAATAGCACTTATTATATTCAAACAAAGGCTTTACAAATTCAATTTCTTTTAATTATATATGTAAGTATTGTATTTATAACATTTTTTACCTCTTCTTCTCTGCCCCCCAATTCTTTTGCCCTCCTCCAAATTCATGACCTTCTCTTTATTATTACTCACATATATGTATATAAATACATCCTGTTGAGGTCATTTAGTTTTACTTGAGTGAGTGTGTGTGTGTGTGTGTGTGTGTGTGTGTGTGTGTGTGTGTGTGTGTGTTTAGGTCTGGCCACTGGGAGTCTCATCCTTGGAGAAAACCAAATCTCTCTATCTTTCTTTCTTTCTATCTATCTATCTATCTATCTATCTATCTATCTATCTATCTATCTATCTCTGGAGTCGTTAATTGTCTGTAGCTCTTCTCTAGGGGTAGGGTCTACAATGGCATGTCAAATTACAATTTGGGCAATGATTTTAAAAGTAAAGTGTCTATAGCTGTCATTATAAGTAACCATTTCTATTTTAACCTCAACAGGGAGATCGAGGCCCAGCAGGTCCCCCAGGAATAGCCGGCATGTCGGTGAGTTTGGCTTATCTCATGTTAGCTTTTCAGGTGTGCCTTTCTATCTCCATAATCAATCTACAGCTAGTGAGCAAGGGTGCTTGGAGTATATTCTGATGACAGCAGTTGCCCAGAGCCTGTCCCATCCCTGATTGTGGCCTATCTGTTCTTTATTTGGATTTTTTTCCCTCCTTTTTGGTCTTTTTTTTTTCCTTCCCAAGTCTCTTTCATGGAAAGAGAGGAAATCCAGTTACCCATGGCTCTGTGTGTGCACAGCTCTGAAAACTCACTTTCTGTACCTCTGTCCCTGTCGTATTTCAGCAATTCTCGAGTTCTCATCTGGGGGCACGTACATCAGGCTCCCCACATGAAGCTGTAGTCAGCCTGGGTGCCCACTTCAGCCAGGGTTATTAGCGGAGCTTTTATGGCCGCTAATGTTTCCTCGTAAACCAGGCTTCAAGCCTCTCAGTCATTTTTGTTGCTCTCTGGTGTCAAAGGCTTTAATCTCATCAAGGTCTTTGCAAATGAATAGGAAGTGCTCCCAGAAAGGTTGAAATCATTTCTCTGAGCCCTTGGGATAATTCTGATCTTCATTCATGATGCCCTCATTAAAATTTTGTGGTCACGGTTTATGAATAAGAGGCCATTTATCCTCTTGCCAGGTGACCCTGCAGGGAAAGTCCGGTATCACATTACAAGAAAGTCTGTGGAAACCATGTGCTTGGGTAGGAGGAGCATGGTGAAGATGAGAAGGGGCCCTACTCTCAGGCCCCCGCCCCCGCACTGTTGCCTCACTGACACCACTTAGCATCACCCTATACAGCCTAAGATCCCCAACCACCATCCATTGCCATCTACCACCGTCCGAAAAAGGTCCACAGACCCTCTACATGATTACATTTAACTAACTCAAATAAGTCATAAAATGCTACCCATCATGTGCATGCTTTACAGAGAATGGCATTCCTTATTACATTTGTCCAGACTGAGACTGAAAATGTGTATAATTGTAAAGGCAGAAAATGAAAAATACTTTCTCTAGCAAGCACTCTGGAATTTGTATAAAATGAAGATACTTTATGAAAGTGGACTTCACGCTTAATTGTATGCCCTCCACACACCTCTGACTCTCCTCCTCACTAGTATTAGGGGCTCTCTTTCTGGAACTGTGCTCAGAATACCATTTCAACCTGTTCCCTTACACTCACATCTTATACTCACAAAGAAACTCATTTTCCCGTTACAGTCATTTACATGTGACTTCAAAATACTTTCTGCTGTTACCATAAATTAGGTCTGTGTTCAAAGAAATATTACTAGATGCCAGTAAAGTAATTAAAGCATGTGTAGTAGTTTCAAAGGATAGTTTAAATGAGCAATTCCAGAAGTCTTTTTGAAGGCTGTAGTTTGATTGAAATATCAGACATATATTTGAATACCTAACATCTGATAAATTCACTTTAAAGCAACCTTCCCAACACTTAGGAGCGCTTGGCAGCTTCAAAATTAGAAAAGGGTAAAAACTGGCCCCACTACACGTGTGCAATTGTGCGATTCAAAATAAGTCTTTATTTTTTTAACCGTTAAGAGGGCCTACGAGAAGTGGTAGAAGACATTGTAAATGCACCCAGTGCACTGTGCCATACACTTTCAAATGAGTACATGTTAAATGTTATCATAGATGATAGAGGTGTGTTCCAGTATTGTCTAAAACTTTCAAGGTGATTGTTGTAGTTGAAGCAAAGATAAAGCCAGTTGGGCCTGTCATGACTACTCAGTGGAGGTCCGTCGGACCCAATGCTGCCCTTCCTAGAAAAGAGTAGTTCTTTTTCCAGTGTTTCCAGGGCTACCCAGGGCTTTTTCTAGAATGTCTTTCTCTGTTCTCTGAGATTGTTCACCTCCCAGAATTCTAAAACAGGTTGGAAAAGGGGCCCTTCCCTTTTAAAATCTCAGCTGCTCACTGAAATCCCTACAACATCTTTCCCAGAGGAGATTAGGCCCATGGAGTAGGAGGTCCTCTTCCAGAGGCAACCCTGTAAGCTCAGTCTGATGCTCTGCACGTTACTTCCGGTCTCAGCTAGACCACGGTGTTAGTAACTGTCTCCATCAATGTGACGAAATAGTTGACAGAAGCAACTTCAGGCTCAAAGTCCACAGACAACGCCCATCAGGGCAGGGAGAGCATGGTGGCTTGAAATGTTGTTTGTTCGCCATGTTGGTAGAAGAAACAGTAGATGGTAGCTCCAGCAGGGATCAGAAGTAGATGTGGCCTCAAGGCATCAGAAGTGGATATGGCCCTCACAGCCTGCCTCTGAGCTGGCTGCTTGCTTCTGCTAGTAAAACCACAGTCCTAGAAGTTGACAACCTCCCCAAAATACCACCGGCCGAGGACCAAGTGTTCAGATACATGAGCCTGTCGGGCACATTACACATTCAACCTAAGTAAACGCCGTGTCCCTACTTCCTCCTGTGGTCTTTCTGCTCCAGGGTTCCTGGTTCTTGTTCTTTGGACCATGGCACATTGAGAGGAAAAAAAAAAAATATTTTCTTCAACCTTTTACCCAAATACAGATTTTCAAATAAAATGTGGAATTTTTTTCCCCTGTATTATCTTACTACCAGGATAGAAGCTCCCTTGTGAAACTCAAAACCTGACATGAATTTCTCACACCCCTGCCTTTTGTCTTACTTTGCTTTAAAAAAAAAAGTTACTTGGGAAGGAAGGAGTTCATTTTGGGTTTATGTGTCCTGAACACAGCCCATCCCTCAGGGAAATCAGGGCAGGAACTCAAACAGGGCAGGAACCTGGAGGAAGGGACTGTAATAGGGACCGTGGAGGGCTGCTGCCTCTTGGCTTGCACTTGGTGGCTTGCTCAACCTGCTTTCTTACACAACCTGGGACCACCAGCCCAGATGCAGCACTGCCCACAGTGAGCTGCCCCTCCCCTCCCCCATCAAGCATTAATCAAGAAAATGTTCCACAGACTGGTCCACAGGTCAATTGATGGAGGAATCTTCTCCAGTGAGGTCTCCTCTTCCTGAATGACTGTAGTTTGTGTCAACTTGACAAAACTCAACCCAGCACACCCTCCCGCAAACTCCCACCTCCGTCTCCCACCCGCTAGAGCAGTAGTTCTCAATCTATGGGTCATGACCCTTTTAGGTCAATTTGTAACAATGAAAATACATCCTGCGTATCAGATATTTACATTATAATTCATAACAGTAACAAAATTACAGTTATGAAGTAGCAATGAAAATAATTTTATGGTTGGGGTTCCCCACACCATGAGGAACTGTATTAAAGGGTTACACCATCAAGAAGGTTGAGAACCACTGCCCTAGAGTAAGAAGGAACTGCCAGGAAAAAAGATGTAAGGATATCCAGTAATGAGGGTACATTGGCTTAACGTTTTCAAAAATATCGTCCCTCTCGCCCTCGGGACTCTGTAGTGTATGCCTTACAGCCTCTGGAGTCTAGCGAGCCCTGGAATGTGTACATGTCCAAATACTGCCATAACCTTTAAGCTCTTGTGGAGATAGAAGTGCATGGCATCAGTAGCACGGCTCCTAACATTTTTATTTGGTTTTCTTCCAGGGGAAACCCGGTGCCCCAGGACCTCCAGGAGTTCCAGGGGAGCCGGTGAGCTACCACCGATTTGGCAGCAGATACACTGCTGTGGTACCTGGGTGCTTTTTTAAAGAAATTTTTACCAATGAACTCTTCTCTTGGCACACATTTATAGGGCGAGAGAGGACCTGTTGGAGATAGAGGTTTTCCTGGACCAGAGGGACCCTCGGGGATGCCAGTAAGTACTTACTAGCTAGAAACTGCTATTCTAAGAAATGTTCTAAGCATTTTCCATTCACCTTCCTCCTCCAAAATGTAAGATCTGAGCAAGCAATTTCAGAAGGAAATAAAACAGGTTCTTAAAAATTGAATTTGGGGGTACTGTCAGGGGGTTCTTCCAGGAGTTTCCCAGATCTCTGTGCAGTGTCTTTATAACTTAAACAACGGGGTGGGGAGAAGGTGAGATTTTCTAAGTCCTAGTTAAGTAGACCCGTTATTTCTTAGGTCTAATAACTCCAACAGAGTTCAAATTCAATGTCCCGTCACATCCTAAAACCTGAAGAGGCCAACAGCTTACAGGCATGGCACCTGTGTGATAAGCTGAAGCAGAAAGTTTTTCTCAGACTCCTCCTTCGTATACTTCATACACGGGCCTTGTACTGACACTGTCATTAATAACCATTACTGGGGACATGTCATGCCCAGTGCCCTACAAAAGCTTATGTATTGATATGGCATTGTGACAGTCTTCCCCACCGAGCCATCTAGGCCCTAGTATGAGCTGAGGATGTGCCTGGAGAGAGGCAGATGAAGTTCTGGGTTTTTTTTTTTAAAGGATTTTTTTATCCTTTAATATTTATCTTATTTGATTTTATTTCATGTGTATACGTGACTGTATGTATATATGTATACCATATGGGTGCCTGTGGGGGCTCGAAGAGGCCATCAGATCCCCTGGAATTGGAGTTATAGACGATTGTGAGCCACCAGATGGGTGCTAAGAACCAAACCCAGTCCTCAGGGAGAGCAGCAGGTGCTCTTCACCAGTGAGCCATCTGTCCAGCCTATCAAATTTCCTTTTTACGGAAGGTCTTGGTCATGTGCTCTGTCGTGTATGGAAGGGAAGGACTGAAGAGAAGTCGCATAGATCTTACGAGCTTTGTTCGGTATTTCTCTGACACTCAGAGCTGATGGATTCTCTGGCCATCATCATCTCCTCAGAGGTGACGAGGAAGGACCAAGTGAACACGACAAGGTTCTGAGCTTCCCGTCACCTCCTCTTAACAAATCTCTCCTCCTTAGCCCCCGTGAGGCATCTCCTAAAAGGCTTGCAATTGAGTTCCCGGGATATAATACAATAGGCAAATTTTTTTTTTCATTAAACGAACATTTTTGAGCAGCTGTTCCATGCTAACAATGGTTGGTGCTGAAAAGTGACGGAGGAGAGAGACTCATTCACGTCTCGGGGTGCTCTCACTGGGAGCTTGCCGCCCCACACCTATGAACAGATGGGCAATGCTGCTTGGATTTAGTCAGTTATCCAAAGAAGAGAACACAACGTAGGGAAGGGGTCTTGTTAAGAGGGATTCAGGAAGAGTTGGTGGGGAAAATGGGGCATGGATAGGATCGTGTTTCAGTATATATGTATGACATTTTTTTTAAAAAAAGAAAACTGTGTACATTTTAAAGGTTCAAAGCATACATTCCAGTTTTATGTTTGATTTATCTTTTACTCAGGTGTCACAGTCGTTTCTCATTCTCTCCTTAATCATCTTTATCTCTGTTGCTGGTGTTCTTGCGGGTAATAAATTCTTTGAACTATATACACTTCAGGTAACAAAGTCTTAGTTAAAGTACGCTCAGTGAGTCCCAGGGTGCTTCAGAGAAGTCCTGGGCCTATGGTTGGGTTACCAACTGTGACACATGTCAGTGTGATTTACCGCAGTGAAAACAGGTGGCGGTCTGCCGCTGTGTCCTTGTGGAGTCTGTTCCTGCAGAATAAAAGTCTCTCAGGCTTTCAGAGAGCATGTCTCTGCAACGCCTGCTGACTGGGAAATGCCGCCCCTCACCTTGATCTCCCTCTTCAAATCACATCTCAAAGCTGCGTCTGCGCTTGGGCTCTGGGTATTTGATTCGACCCCGAGCCCTTCTCCTCCTTCTGTATCTGACAGGCAATTCTGTCCGCTTTATAAATCTCCAGGCAGGGCTGGCTTTATGACCACTTCCAGAATACCTTTAAAGGTCCCAGAAGTTCCAATTTTCTAATAAAAAAAATGTCACTGCTTAATAGTCTCAAAAACTACGATTACAGATTCCCAGCTCTCATTCAAACCGAGAAAGAGTAATTTTTCTTCAGCTGACAGTTTATTTTATAGTAGGATCACATTCCAGCCATGTTATGAAATTCCCTCAGAAACAAGTGACAGCGTTTGCTGAGAGGGAACCTGTGCTTAAACCTGCTAAAAGGCTGTTGTGGTAACACTATTCCCGGGAAGATGTCAATGAGTGTCTCCTCACCCAGATAGGGAATCAATGGTAGACTAGAGATTCTGGCAAAGTACAACTTGGTAAGCCAGTGAGTTTGATTGGCATTACTTATGGGAGTATAGGTGACGAGCTACCAGCAGGAGTACAGATGATACCCAGAAAGCTGCATCACCATGGGTAATGCTCCCAAAAGCTGGAGCCCTGGAGCTCACTGCACAACTTACAGGCAGCTCAACAGGATGGAGAGCATCTTTTCCAGACACTTCCGTTGTTTCTGGGCCTCTTCAAGGCAGCTCAGCTGGCCTCAGAGAGTCTCTCAGAAGTCCTCACTGCTTATCTAACCTTGGGGAAGGAGGAGCATAGCGAATATGGTCAGTTTTAGGAACTTCCTGAAGATTTTGAGTTGTTTATCCTGAGTTTTAACTAGCTTCCCTGAAGGATGGAGTGTTTTCCACCTTCCTTTAAAATATTCTGACTCTTAAGGAACTTCCCTCTGAGATGGAAGGTTTTTATCTCAGAGAAAGTTGCTGCACAAGAAAGATATAAAATATCTCCATGTCTCATTCACCCAATGCTTTGGGGCACCTTCATTCTTCACAGGCGGTGGAGAAAGCCATCTTGGGTGACTGCTTGAGAGGACTCCACACTTTCCATGTTGTTATGCTCTCTTTTTGGTTGTAAACTCATTCTTACCTTCTTCACTGTGAATTTGAAGATGCTGGTGCTAATCAGATGGAGTAAATTCCCGAACCTAGTCAACGGAACCAGTAAATGGCAATCAGCATTCGAACTCAGGGCCGCATGATGGCACTGATTTTATATTCTATTTTGCCATGCAGACTCACCAAGGTGTCTGAAGAAATATATAACGTAATTCTTTTGTGTGTTTAACTATAACTTTATGCAGACATGGGATAGAAATATTGTTTTTATCTTTTTAGGGCATAAATGGAAAAGACGGATTACCAGGTGCTCAGGTATGGGGAAAAAAATTCTATTTTAAATAGTATGAATTCTTAAAATTTCTGCTTTATAAGTGTATGCGTCTCAAAACCATTTAGGTCAGTCAGACTGATGGAAAATCTTGGCAAACAGTGATTTTTTTTTTTAGTGTTGACATCTGTTTTTCAGGGCATCATGGGTAAACCTGGAGACAGAGGCCCCAAAGGAGAACGCGTATGTATATCACTACTGTGGCCGCTGTTCACGTCTGTCTGATACAATTGTTCCATCACTTTAGCCACACAACAAAGCATGTAGACAACCTTGGTTCTCCCAACATGAAATGGTTAGGACGGACGTGAAACAATATCTCTACCAGGAATAGAATGTGACACAGGCAGATCATGCAGAGGGTGTGCCTGTGAACTGGCTTTTGTACACAGGAGTCTACTTTTCTCTTCCAGTTTGGAAAGTATTATACCACCCTCCTGTCTGAGACACATATGCCAGCTATAACCACCACCCAAATTCTCCTTGCCAACTAAGGGATGTCTCACCCACAGTTGTATGGACACTTGGAGGCAGATAAGTTTTTGTGGGGTTTGGCTATCTAGTATATCGCAGAATATTGATAGCATTGCTGATGTCTGTCCACATGATGCAATGGCACCATCATCCCTTCAACTCTCACTACCTAGACATTGCTAAATGCCTACCAGGGAGCAAAATCACCCAGGCTGAGAACCACTGATCCACAGGAACACTACATGGAATAAGGAAACTGTGAGGAGTGACACACACAGTTGTGGGCTGCACTTCTGCTGAAACTCTGTGGGCTGCTGGTGCCGCTATTGAAACTTACTAGCATTTTCTGTACTGAATCTCCTAGTCAGACCCCTGTCCCTGATGCAAGGTACTCAAGCCTTGTTACTTTGCATAATCCTATCTAGGGCTGCTCTTACATTTGTGGCCATATATGTGTTTGTGTACTAGTGTCTAATTTATTGAGTTTTTTTAATTGTTAACACAAGTAATTCATAACAATGGAAGGAAATATGAAAAACAAGATAACATAAACTTAAGAAGAGAGTCAGCCGGGCAGTGGTGGCGCACGCCTTTAATCCCAGCACTCGGGAGGCAGAGCCAGGTGAATCTCTGTGAGTTCAAGGCCAGCCTGGGCTACCAAGTGAGTTCCAGGAAAGGCGCAAAGCTACACAGAGAAACCCTGTCTCGAAAAAAACCAAAAAAAAAAAAAAAAAGAAGAGAGTCTTCTGGGCGTCCTCACACAGGGATGAGCACTCGATATTTTGAATATATTTCAGTTCACTCTTATGGCTAATGGACACATATAATCAATACAAAATATATCTTCTTTTGAAATCAGATTGAAAATGCTTTGTAAACATTTTTCTACTGGCAATACACAATGACTACATATGGCTTCCCTAGTCCTCTTTTTCTAAGAACTTATTTTCTCTCCAGTATTCTTAATAACAAACACTACAAACATCTTCTTTTTAGAAAAAAAAAAACTATTTTTTAAAAAAAATTATGTGATAGCAGAGAACAACCTACATGAGTCAGTTCTCTGCCTCCATCCACCCTGTGGCCTATGTAGATTAAATCCAGGACATCAAGTATGGGGACCATTTTGAGGGTTGAAATGACAATGGGTGATGGGTGTTGATCACATTAATACCTGTGATTGCTCACTTACTTTCATGATTGTTCTTTAAGTCAAGACAAATACAGACAGGCCTTTTGCAGAGTGTTACAGATAAGGGAATAAATAGTGTGGGAAAATGTGGGGCAGCCTCCAGCAACAGACTGTCACACTCAGCTCAGACCTCACTTCCTGCCGTCATACAGCTGGACACTGAAAATGTGGATGAAGCACTCACTGTGATATTATACTTCCCTTGGGCACACACAGTATAGACACATGCCCAGAACAAGGGCAACACTGCAGACCTCACTCTCAGATTGAGACACAGCTAGAGCCACCTCATTGCTAAGTCTCACATCTTACTCATCAAATTCTTACCGTTCATGTATGCTCTTGAGCAAGTCATCCCAGAGACGACTGCCCCTTCACCCGCCCCAGCCACTTGCTTGGAGACTTTCTTAAAGCTCCCTTCTCTTGCTTTCTTTCCTGTGTGGTGTATGTTTTTCATCACCGAATGCACATGCAAACCCGTGTTAAATGTGAGTCTAGAAGAAACTCCAAAGAATCTAATAACGGCCAAACAAAAATGTGAAGGGGAGAGAACCGTATGATTCAGATCAGGTTTTGAGTTTTTTCCAGGTGAAGAGTCTCAGAGATGTGCTCCTGTTGGCAATCTCCTTTTGTAACTACAAAAGAGACCCAGACCTGAAGTCACAGTGACGTCATTCTAGACTGAATGAAGACAACTATCATTGTCACTAAGATCTACATGCTTAATGCTTCGAGGGGTCATACATTGTTTTAAGCACGTTACTTGGGTACATTCATTTCTCAACATTGCCCTAGCTAGGAGATAGTATTAATATTCCCACATGCTAATGGTACAACTGGGGTACGGGGTAGCAGTATATAACACAAGGATTCACAGTAAATGAATGCCAGCTCGGACCCAGGATTTTGCTATTAATCACAGCATTACCAGAAAGAGTGAATCATTTTTCTCCCCAAACAGGGTGATCAGGGGATTCCAGGAGACAGAGGTCCACAAGGTGAACGTGGAAAACCAGGCCTTATGGGCATGAAGGGGGCTATAGGTCCTGTGGGGCCACCAGGAAGCAAGGGCTCCATAGGGTCACCCGGCCACCAAGGCCCTCCAGGCTCTCCAGGCATCCCTGGCACTCCGGTGAGTGGAGCCCCTGGCTCATACTATTTATGTATCTGTTTATAATGAAAGAAATGCCAATCCTTTTAAATATAGGAAACAAGCTTGTCTGCACCATTATTTAAAGTTATGTGCCAGGTCTGCTGTTGACACCTCCATTACATCCTAGATCTTCACAGCTATAAACTAGAAGAATAGGTCCCTTTCCCTCATCTGTTTATAAATGCAGGAGCAGAGTTGCCTTGATCGACATCAAAGCATTATTAAGAGGGCCAAACTCAGGTCTGGCTGACTCCAAAACCATTGTTTGGTTTGGTTTGTTGTATGGGTTTGGTGTGTTTAGGGTGATTGGGGGGGGGGGGGTATTTGAGACAGGATCTTGTGGTATAGCCCAGACTGGGCTGGAACTCAAGATCCTCTGGCCTCAGACTCCCAAGTGCTGGGATTGTAGGTGTGTACCACCACACATAACCAAACCATGTTTTTACAATAGTATCTATAGTTGCTCTCACACAACCATACACATTTATTTTACCCTGGGACTCTGTTCAGTTGGCCACTGGAACAAGTCTTTCCTAAATAGTGCTTTGGAGTAGGAATGACGTAAGCCAAGAGTAAGGGACACTTAAAGCAGCCCTTGTCTTACTAATAGTTCAGAAGGGTGGTCAGTGGCCATTCAGCTGAGGAGTTCTGAAAATCTCTGTGGCAGGAACAAAGGAGGACCCAGAGATGAAGTAGGAGGTTAAAGACCTACTTTCCTCAGACCAGCCAAAAGCAGGGCATTCCCTCAATCTTCCTACTTCTGTATTTTTACCTCCTTCCTAAACTGGGAAACCTGCAAAACTTGACCTAGGTGTCACTTTCTACTATCAGACTGTTCATTCAAGTTCATTTTTCCCCTCCTCCACTCTCCCCAAAGTCTCCCCACCTCCCTACCCACCCAACTCACCCAACTTTATGTTCTTCTCTCTCTCAAAAAGAGAATAAGAAACAAAAACAAAAACAAAAAAATTAAGACACAAAAAAGTCCCACAAAAACAAAAGTCAAAACAAATAGACAAAAAAAAGACAAAAAATGCTCAAACAAAGCAAAAGAATAAATAAATAAGAAAAAATCCACACAAATGCCTTTGATTTTGTTTTGCATTGGACAACTACTTCTGGGCATGCGGCCTGCCCTGGACCCTGGAGTGTAGTTGCCCGTTGACACCCCATTAGAGAAAACTGCTATTTCTCTTTGCCAGCAGGTATTAACTGCAGATAGCTTCCTGGTTAGGGGTGGGACCTGTGTGCACGTCCGCTTCTCAGTACTTTCATTCAAGTCCATTTTTCCCATGCACGTTGAAGACCAGGCAACGCAACAGCGCTGACCGATAGAAATCAGCCCCTTATGAGGACATCGCATTGTCTTTTTTTTCCTCTTGTATTCTAAATGAATGGGTTGTCATGAATGGATGAGCTCACAGCATTACCACTGCATACACAGGCTTAATATGCAAATATGATGAAGGAATGATGGAGATTTCCCACAGATCTTTCAAGTCCCTCATCTGGTCACCTCCCACTGGGCTTTGTCATATGTTTCTCAGCATGTGTGCTTGCAGTGGAGGGAGTCCCTACATCACAGCTTCTAATGTGTGTTGTGTTGTCTTCATTGCCCTACGTGGAGCCTCAGAAAATATACTATGCCTACAGAGAATAGGACTGAAATACTTTCAAGTCCTGGCCATCTTGAAAAGTGATAGATCCCTTCTGAAAATATCAAAGTATTTCAATAAAACATGGCTGTTATAAATGTGGGTTGTTGTCAAAAGATTAAGCATTCAGCTGACACCATTTACCTACTTGTAATTACCAGGCATCTCAGGCATTTTCTATCAAAAATTTGGCTATGGGCTGGAGAGATGGCTCAGCCATTAAAGGCTAGGTTCACAACAAAAATAAAAACTTGGCTAATACGTTTATGTTAATATGTAAGTTACAGTAGCATGAGACCGGCAAATCATGAGAAAAAATATTTTATAGGATAATCCTGCAACAACATGATGTCAGTTGTTGTAGACTTTACCAGTATCCAGGGGTGGGGTACATGTTCAGTTGTGGTTGGTTTTTAACACCATCATGTTGTTTGGGCCTTTTAAATTTAAGTAATAAATTTAAATTTATACAGAAACTGTATGTCCTAATTGTCTATAGCCGCATTTCTCCATTCACGGGAGCAATACTAGCATCACTGGTTATAATTCCAGACCACAGCTTGTAAAGCAGTTATGAACTTCAGCTTATCCTAGCGTTTGATCAAACAGTATTTATTGCCCAAAATAGTGCACTGCCAGCAGCATTTTGCTTGACAAATGTGTATCGACAAAAGTATGCCGAACCCAGCATTTCTGTTCCTTATCCACGGGTGCTCTGCTTTCTTTTAATGGACATTCTTTTTCCTCCCTTAGGCGGATGCTGTTTCATTTGAAGAAATAAAGAAGTACATTAACCAAGAGGTCCTAAGGATTTTTGAAGGTTAGGTTTGGTTTGTAATGCTTCCAAATTTTTTCACTAGTCTCCACTTCCCGCCCCCCCTCCACCGTGGGGAATCCCTCCAGTGGCGTTCTTGAAAGATGACTCCATGACAGCAATTGTGGAGAGGCAGCTCCTTTTGACAGAAGTGTCTTCCTTTTGCTGAGTCAAACTTTCTCTTTAAACTTCCTTTCCTCACCGTGTCTATAAACAACACAGGCAAAGTGCCTTCTATTGGTGCGACTGTCTTCCAAATATTTCAATACCCATCCCACCCCATCTTCATTTTTCTCCTCTATGGAGTAAGTATGTCCAGTTCCTCCATCCCTGTCACCCTGGGGCGGGGGGGTGCTTAATTTACCTGTGAGTGTTTTCACCAAAGTGGGTTGCTGTGTCTTTTGATCTATACCAGGGCCAGCCAACTAAAGACTCCCAGCCACATCCATCTGCTACCAATGGACTTTTATGTGGCCTACAAGCTCAGAACGGTTCTTACATATTTGTTAGAGGATTTCCCATCATTTTTTAAAAAGATCAACATGACACATTTAAATGACCTAAATTTGGATCTGACTTCTAATAAAGTGGTTTGGGGTACAGTCATACTTCTTTTCATATTTCTCCAATGCTTTCAGGCATTAGGTGAAGAGTTGAATAGATGTGACAGATATCACGTAGCTAGCAAAAAAATAAATAAATATTCACTTTCTGACTCTTTTCAGAGTAAGTTTGCCTACGCTGGCTCTAGATGTTTAAGCCCAAGGTAGCTTTGTTTTAAAAACAAAACAGTGTCTCACCCATCCCATGCTGGCCTTGAATTCTCTATGTAGCTTGAGGTTGGCCTAGAACTCCTGATGTTCCTGCCTCCACGTTGCAAGTGCTGAGATTACAGGCATATACCAGCATACCTGGGTTATTCATCCTTTTCTGGGGCTGAAACCCTGGACTTGATGCATGCTGGTGAGCACTCTACCAGCTGGGCCACATCCCTAGCCCATCACTGCTTCTGCTGAGCAGTTAAGCCTTGCTGATCATTCATGGTGAGTCATCAATTAACAGCGTGGTTCTTCCCTCTGAAAACTTTTCAAAAGAGTTCCTCATTGTATATTATTTTAAAAACCTTACACAGGTGAATTTATGTTTGCTATTATTAAACTTCAAGTGGCTTTAGTGGTAGAGCACTTGCCCGAGATGTCTAAGGTCCTGGGTTTGTCTTCCAGCATCAATCAATCAATAAATAAACAAACAAATAAATAAATAAAAACAAAAACAAATAAAATTCAAGTGATTTATGTTCTGACATTGGTCCAATCTGAAAATATTGTTTAGAATATTTGTGGAAGGTAAGATGGCTGACACTTACAGCTTTGGGTCATCTCTAATGTCTAAGCATGTTCTATTCTGGTTGTTGATGGAAATGTTGAATTTAAAAGTCAAGAGCTAGACTGACAGGATGGCTCAGTGGGTAGAGGGGTTTGCTTCCAAGTCTGACCACCTGAGTTCCAGCTCTGCAACCCACATAGTGGAAGGAGAGCACTTATCCCTACAAGTTGTTCCCTAACCTTGGCACACCTGCCGTGCAAACACACACACTATGAGAATAATAATAAATAATAAAATAATAGTAATAGCAGTAATACAATGTAATTGTTTAAAATTTTAAGTTGAATCAAGGCTTAGGCCTTTCTAAATGTTATCAGATTCCTTCTGCACACTTATAAGTCATCTATTTATTAATCTATCATTCATTGAACTTTGACTTTATATATTTATTCTAAAATCTGCTCTAGATCTGTTCACAAGTATATCACATGGTTTTGCCCAATTAGTAGCTAAAGTCACAGTCATTCCCCTCAACTGTAAGATTCACCAAGTGGAAATGGCTCCTACCTCCGTTGCTAATAAGCACCATAAGCTAAAAGCGGGGTAGAGGGTTTTGTAAAGCATGAGAACACAAAATATTCTAATTCAAAATTTTGTTAGAATTGTTTTAAGTAATTTCCATTAGAGACTGAAATCTCACTGCTTGGATGCGAATTGTCTTGTTTCACTTGAGCAGTGGAGAGAGAGCAGTGTTACACAGAAAAGAATATTTTAATGAGATTATAAATTCGTGTTGTTCCTTTACATTTTTCTTTATCTCCACTACCTGTCTTTACCTTGCCTGAAGTGATAATTTATTAGAATAATTTCTTACTTACTTTTGAGCTGCCAGTGTTCTTTTTAACTTTAACATTGTACTTAAATTGCACATTTTCTTTTCTTTTTGGTCTTATGGCCCTTGAATCAAGCACCATGGAATAGATGCTAATTTTTCCCACCAAAACATTTGTTTGTCTTAACAAGCACCCTTTAACATTCAGCACTCTGGAGGGAAAAAAGCCTTGTCTCACTCCTCAGGAGACAAAGAATATGGACAGCAGCAAAGTTTTCAGATCTCAGTGTAAAATGAAAATGTCCAAAATATACTTTAAAATTTCAAGAAAATACTAGAAAACCATTAAGCTGAGTGTGGGGCCCTTCTGATGGTGGAAGCCTTTGTTACTATATAGGTGCCGTGTCTATGAAGGAAGCGCTGGACACAGGAACTCACACAACATGTTCATCTGCAGTTGGCTGGAACTATGCAAAGGGAAACACTGAGGATTACATTTTTTTCATTGCAATCTAAAGTTCTCTTCTCACTTCTAATTTCTACAGACACTGCTGTCATTGAAAACCCTTTATCTCAGGAATGAGATTCTGAAATGCAATTTCTTAAAGATTCTTCTTGTCGCCATATTTAATAGTTCAGTAGTTGAGCCAACTTCTGGAGGTTAATTAACAGTCACAGAAGCTGGGCTGGAAAGATGGCCCAATGTTAAGGGTGTATGTTCTGCTCTTGCAGAGAACCCAAGTTTGGTTGCCAGCCCCCCACATCCTCACAAGCACCTTTAATTCTAGCGCCAGAGGATCATATTCTCCTTTCCTGCCTCCAAGGGCACCTGCTTTCACACCACCCTTGCCACTGCACATATATACACATAATTTCAAAATAAGAATAAATCTTCTTTTAAAAATGGATGTCAGAAACTACAGTCACGTATTATCGGAAAAAGAAAAACGTCAAGATACAGCAGGCATCGATTTGGTAAGTCCAGTACACACTGTAAAGATGTGACCCACGACCTCCTGTCGGAGTACTCAGCCAGGGAAACACCCAGTTGCGACCCCTCAAAGAGGGCTCGAGGCTGCCCACACCCAACCACTCTGCAGCTACTCCCATGAACAACTATGGGACTCCTCAAGAAAGTCAGGGGATTGGTTTGGGGCAAGCTCACCTGACTCATACTGTGTTCTTTGGGTTTCTGCCTCACCACTGAGGTGTCCCCAGCAGGAAGCTGACAGGTATGGAGTCTTCCCCCATGTCTCTTCTGGCTTCATTCCCATCCCTCCCACTGCCTTTTTCTTAGGGTCCCAGTGAATGGCAGGACACTCTAACCTCGAGAGAGCTTGTTTACCTCCAAAGCCGCCTTCAAAATACCTTAGCCTCAAGATGGTTTTCTAAAAGGGGCCAAAGGAAATCTTTCTCCTGAAACTTCTGAATACCAGTTCCACATGTGCTGTCCCCTCTCCTGGGAGCTGTGCAGACAGCAACCGGGCAAATCGGTCTTCTCCCAAACACAATGCACCTGAACCTATAGTGTACTTATTCAGTACTTAGGTTAATTTGCCCTCAAACCACTTCTATTCAGTCCATTTGATTTTTTGCCACCCAGAAGCCACCTCTTCCGAGGCTGAACACCATTTTCCAAGAAGAAAAAAAGCAAAACTCCATTTCCACAAATCACGGAGCTGTAAGGTCAGTTTCCTTTTCCACAAAGCCTTCTCTCTAAGTGGAAAGATTAATTGTCACTTTTTTTTTTTTTTTTTTTGGTTTTTCGAGACAGGGTTTCTCTGTGTAGCTTTGCGCCTCTCCTGTAACTCACTTGGTAGCCCAGGCTGGCCTCGAACTCACAGAGATCCGCCTGGCTCTGCCTCCCAAGTGCTGGGATTAAAGGCGTGCGCCACCACCGCCCAGCTAATTGTCACATTTTAAAGCAGTGTTGGTGAGCTAGCACAGTACAGCAAGTGCTGGGGTTCAATCACACCTGTCTACCGCCCATTTTCTTAGCAGTTTCACTAGAGAAGGTGTCAGCTGGGGCTTCTGCAGTCTCCCCACAAACTTCTGCCTGTCCACAGCCTCAGGAAGGGTTCTCCCTCTTCAGCAGGAGCCCATGGTGGTCCTCAGGAGGTCCTGCTGTATGCTTTATTCAAACCTGGTGCCCAGGTGGTTCCTCATGTCAAAGCCTACACCAGAGCATAAGTTTTAAGCTCTCCTCCAGGGATTTATCAATCCCCTTTGAACTTCTTAGGTGACCCTCCCAGCCTTCTCACCTTGGGCTATCCTCCAGGCCACTACCCTGTCCTTCAGCATGCTAAATGCTCCTTCCCAAACCCAACAAATGGAGGGAGGCGATTCTCCATAATCTCAAAGCTGGGTTCCAATTGGATCATGATACACAAGTATGCATTCACTCTAAAGTTAGATTAAATCCCCACTTTGATTGGTCAATATGTCAAGGCTTTTTTGACCACAGGGTGACCACACAAGGCAAAGACAGATGTCATCCACATGACTCAGCTTAGCTTTTTTGTCCTTATGAAGGCTTAGCAGCTGCCAATGATGCTATCCACATAAATCAAAGTTTTAGCATATCAGAGAGCATAGATTTTGCTTATATACCTCACTTTATAATACTTGAGCATTTTCATCTGTATGAAAAAACAAAAACCTATGAAGCATTGTATACAAACTAGCAGGCTCTTTCCACTCTTTAAACCCTCAAAGCCCAATTCTGCAACTGAGCAGGAAGGTTAAGATTATTTCTGCCTTTGGATTTCAGTGTTCAGGAAACCTGTGTTTTCTCCATTTTCACATATATTTCACATACATGTATATGAAAGAGTATAATAAATTATCC